AGAGGAAGAGGCAGAGAGAGCAAAGAGAGAGAGAGAGAGAGAGAGAGACAGACAGACAGACAGACAGACATAGAGCTGAGAGAGAGGAATGGGAGTGAAATAAGAATAGAGAGGAAAGACCAGAACTTAAGAAGAGAAAAGGAAATTAGAAAAGTAGCAAGTTCGAATAGAGAAAAGGGATGAGGGAGTGAGACGAAGGATAAAAGTACATGCAACATCAAAATACGAATGAATGGAAGAACCAGCTATGCGTGCCAATCATCATGACAGTTAATATTGCACATAATTATATTGCTGAAATACATTACATAATATATTGGTGTTATTGGTCACAGTAAGATTAAGATCTCTCTGCTTTACAATAATACATTTTTGCATGACTCTACGGCTAAAATGGTGTTCATGGAACAGACTACATAAATTATATTTCTTATCGAATCTGAAACATAAAAATTAAATTGATGGTCTACAATTTCGCGTTTGAAATTCCGAATGTTCCGAATGTTCAGATATAACGGACGAAATTACACCCTAAAAATAGAAATTTGTTTGCTCCAATTAATACTTGAACTTTACTTGAGTGTATTTGGATTGCCAGACGTGTCAATACTGAACAGACAATCATAGTTTCATTTTAGCCATATGATATGGCTTAGAAATTGGAAAAGTGAGGTGCTGTTGCAACTTGCACGTAGCTTTAATAATGATGACCTTCGTACCTGTTCTGCAAACAACTCTATTATTGTATGCAAATTTCGAAGGTATGGAGAAGGTTGACATACTTACTAGAGACATTAAACCAACAACAATGTCTCATTCAAAAGACCTTGGCCCGAATTCACAAAGCAAGGTTTGAGCTCAGACCAAGGTTTGAGCTCAAACCTCCTTTTGTTTCGCCAAACCTCCTTTCGTTCTTTACAAACCAGGTTTGTAAAAACCGCGTAAAACGCGTCATATGACGTACGAAAACCAAGGTTTGTCGACAAACCTCCTTTGTGAATTCGGGCCTACGTGTTCCCAGGGAGCGATATTATTTGTATTCCTGTTTTTCAAGTTGTTTAAATTGGCTGAGGCTTTTAAAGTACGGGATAACTAAGTATGTTATTCAAACAAATCTAATTTACACACGAAATGCTTCAATATCTGACGGTCTGTACAAAAATATATGAACACCTTAGCCGCTGTTAGCTCGTTAAAGATTATAATACTACTACGCTCCTATACACGTGTAACGACTTCATTCATGAAAAGAACCCATTTATTTCAGAAGAAGCATCCTGATTCAAAAACAGAGCATGATGACATTATTTTGGGCTTGCCCCCCCCCCCCCTCCCCCTCCCCACTCCGAGGTCGTGTTCCCAAAATCTCCGGTAAAGGGATACTTTTCGCGCCACAAATTCCGGCCCAAGATTTTTTTTTTTAAGGGGGTGTATTTGACTTTTCGCCCGGAGATTTCTTTAAAAAGGGGGTTAAAAAATATAAAAAAGGGCGTGTTTTTTCTGTCTCTCTTTTTGGACTCCTAAGAAATAATTTTAAAAAGGGGTAATGAAATATCTTAAATATCATAGATAAGGGGGGGTACATTGAGCAGTGTTCCGGATTTAGGGGGGTCTCCAAGGTTAGAAAACCTCACGGAAGGGGTTGACCGCGGAGGAATTAAGGGTTTTATTACTGGCGGTTTTAAAACTTTGCCTTATCAATCGGTTGATGAATTCTCAGACTGGTTTGATTTTCATTTCTTCGTCAAATACAGTACATTTTAAAGGACAGACATGAAACATTGACACTGGATAATATCTTGACAGGATGCAACTAAATAATTATTATTTCCAACACACAGACATAATGATGTGTGAGACGCGATGGCTCAGTGGTAGAGCAGTGGTATCGTAACCGGGAGGTCCCAGGTTCGAAACCAAGACGATGCGCTATGCCTTTGGTAACGCATTAACCCTCATTACAAAGAATCTGGGGGAGCACTTAAAGCCGTCAGTCCCCTGGTTGCTTATTTTTTTTACATACACATGCTTTATTAGCAGTCAGGCAAACAAAAAACAATCAAACTTGACCAAATCATGTAGGCGTAAATGAAATCAGTGATCATCCTGATTGAAGCTAATTAATGGCCTTTTAATGTCTTTTTTTAAAAAAAATTTTCATTTGAGAGTGCTTTTATGCCTTGTTCTAGATTCAAGTTTTCATGCCAAAGATTTCATCTTTTTTCATACTCATAGCAAAGATGTTTGTCCAAAATTCGTCAAATCAGCACTTTTATATCTTTGCGTGATTTCTTGTTTGCTGTGTGGCCAGCACAGTTATTTGCTTTTTGCAATCATACCTATATTTACTTAGTAAATGTCATCTATACAGGTTATGCTCTTTCATCCATGATATTTGGTTCCATCGGCTTAGATTTAGATAATAATCAAGATTTCTTTTATTCCTACAGCAATAAACTTTCAAAAGATTTAATTCTGGTCGAATGACCTCGCGGGAGCATCAAATAAAGTAAAAATAGGTTTATTTTGCTAGCCCTCTTTTACCTAATCAACTCTTTGGTGGAGGCCCTGACACAAATTATTTTTATAACATACACACTCAAACAGGGAAGTCTATGATACAGGAAGTTGTAGAACAAATTTAAACCTCAAACGAAAAACGTACATGCGAAAAGAGTGCTTGTTGTGTCTACAATGTATATTAGGCATTTATAGCACAGTTTGTGTAAGGTTTCTCTTGCAGTCAGTCATGGGTGGGGGGGGGGGGGGGTCCAACATTGGTATTTAGCTCCCCTGGCCATCTGATACTTTATATTAAAACTCCATTAGAGTTCAAAAAAAAGCAACACGACTGAGTGAATATAATGTACAAAATTCATTTCCCTCCCCCCCCCCCCCCCCCTCTCCTTCCCTCTATATATGTGTTGGGAACTCCATCTAAATCCACTCTTTGATGTGTTGATTTATTGATTTATCATGATAAAACGAGCCGCTTTCGATTCGAACATGAGCATATACCCCAGTGTTTCCCATTCGGGGTTAGTGGTATAATTTGTATTAGATCCAGGGTGGTATTTTATCTTTTTTTTTCCAGATCATTAAAGTCTCGGTCAGATAATTACGCGGCAAAACCGCGGCATTTTTTATTTTCTTATTTTTATTTTGTAATCATATTTATTAGTTGTTAATAGTATGATGACGTGAAGTCTAATACGCTTCGCATTTTTTGTATAAATTATTATGACACAGGGCTGAATGAATTACGCTCAAGTACTATTGCCATTCGTTTTATACGTGTAAAGATAGGAAGAAATCATGGCGTGTTTTTTTCCCGGCGGTTTGCAGCACCATAATTATCTGAACAAGCCTAAAAGTTATAGACCAGTAAGTCATGCGATTGCATTATGAAAGAAAAGTTGTGGAATCGATCAGAAAAGGTTGATCATCTACATAGATATATAAGTATTGGTGTGTACTGCAAGGCTCAGGAATCATCAACATGATAAGAAATTTGGCCCAGTCATGGATAAAGCTACACGCACTGTACACAGCACAGAGAGATGGGACTACGCAACACATGCATGCATGCACGATATAATAATTTACCAAATATATCAATTAGTAGGCAGTTTCTCGCCAAAATGTATATCATCACGTATTAGTCAAAACATGCATGCATGCACGATATAATAATTTACCAAATATATCAATTAGTAGGCAGTTTCTCGCCAAAATGTATATCATCACGTATTAGTCAAAACATGCATGCATGCACGATATAATAATTTACCAAATATATCAATTACGTATTTGGTAATAAGAGCTTCCATTTCATTTTTTGAGAGGGGGGTCTATACCATTAAGAGTTGCTGACATTTAAAAACGACATTGTTCGATGTTTTACTGTTGGTGATTATCATAATCACTTCCCAAGGCCATTTGATGTCATACCAAGACAACGCAATCGCTCGAGCAAAGTGCATTATCTGTGATAAATCGTGTTTGTTTGTTACTCCATGATAATTCACCGTTGCTGAGAGGAATATTTAAAAACAACCCTTTACCAATGAGGTGTCATGCGTTTTCAAGTCGGTGTGTACAAAGAATTATTGGTGCAATTTATTATAGGTTCTTCCTTCTCAATCATGGGATTGAGCTTGAGAATGAAGAGAAGCAATATGAGAAAATGAAGGAGGCGAAGAAAACGAAGAAAAGAAGGGATAAAGAAGAATTCGAAGGTGAAATGACAGAATATTAAAATTATAAAGAAAAATATTTATGAAGAAGAAGGAGCATGAGCATGAGAAGAAGAAATAGAAGAAGAAGAAGAAGAAAGAGAAGGAGAATATGAAAAGAAGGAAAGGAAGGTGAAGAAGAGAAGGAAGAAGGGGTAATTTTCCGGAGGTGATTGTCCAGGGGTAATTGTCCTATAACCATTATGGTCAAACGAATTTATGATTAAACCTTTCTTTAGAGGAAAGAGAAATTATGACTTGTTTTTACTTCGGAGCAATTGGGAAAGGACCTCTCAAAATATATCGAAGACCTGCCAATTTATGTTTGTTTAATCAAAAATTTGGAAAAGTTTTTTTTGTGTGCTCCAACTGTCACTTCAATGTTTCATTAACATTTCTTCTGCTCTTCCATTCAAACCCACTTTAAATCAGGGCGGACTTCTCCTTTAAGAGTTCTCGCATGCGGCTTTTAAAGCCTATAAAAAAAAAAGGTCCCATCCTGTCACGCACGTTCTAAAGTTTATTCAGTCATGCAAATACTTGGAGGGCTCGTATCATATTTCCTTTTAAAAGGGTCTTGATAAAATGTCATTTCATCGGAACACAGTGTTTTTTTACCCTCCTATATAGGTTCAGTGCTTCTATCTAGACAATAAGGGTCAGAGTCCAATAATCATGCGATATCTAAAGCAAACAGCCCTTTGAACCGTCGTCTTACGATGTCAAAATAACAGCGATACAAGAGTCAAGTTGGGGCATAGTTTCTCATTTCCAAAGTTGGTGTCGTGCTTGATATGTTCCGCTGGAGATGAAATATTCTCGAGAACGATCAGCAGGATAATTTCGATTAATTTATTTTGTCGTGAGCTGAAACGTTGGTGTCGTAATTTCACATGGAGGACTATGAAAGTTTTCTCTCGGGATTTTTAATTCGGAGTTATTACTTTGACGTTGGTGTCGTTCTATCACATTCAGAATGTGACTCAAATTATGGAATATTATCAATGGCTATACATGTGTAGCGATCGACAGGTAATATTTCGTATTGCAGATTGAATTTTGTATTTGGTAGCCATATTGTGCATGGTATATCATGCCCACTATTAATGTGTATTAGCCAATGTGAAAGGGATTTGCACATAACGCATTCCCAAATACTTTCAAATACTTACAAGATATCGACTTTATAGCAATATTAATTCCTCGTTGCATTGCATGTAGATCATGTTCGTATTATGTAATATGTCTCTGTCATGCTCACATATCATAGTGGGTGACACACAACGCTGTTGAAATTACCATTTTTTGTTAAAACTGTGCGATAGTTTTACTTTTTTAATGTAAACTTTGTCAGCAGGTTTTTTTGTGTGTATTTAACGAGATGTATGTGGCCTATATTATTGCCAATACTAACGTACACTGCTATCTTTAGTCTCGAGTGTGATGGCGTCCTCTAAATACCTCTTATAGTAGGCCTATTATATTATATAGAATGCTCGCGAGACAATTATACGCAATAGTACTTTTTTAACATGCAATTCATATGAATTTATCCTCCAATGACTAACTCTCTTCTCAATTTTTACAGTGTCGTGTATGTATGTGTAATGGGCGTTTGCAGCACAAGCAATTTGCTTTCCGGGGTCTTGCCTTCGTCTGCTTTTGAATAGATTTACTGTACTGTTCTATTTCTTAGTATCGTCAATGGGAAGGAATTAAAAGTAAATTTCAATGTTCAAACAAATTTAATATCCAGTTCGATTTCATAATAATAATAATGATAATAATAATAATAGTGGGTTCTTGTATAGCGCTCATGTCTGTCAGACTTGACACTCCTGGTGCTCCATGAAAAAGAGTTTAATCGGTGGTCAATTACCGAGACAGGTCATGCCGGTCAAATTCCTTCTTCAATCCCGGACTAGCAACAATATACCTCAACCTGACACTTAGTTTAATCTAAAACACAATCGCAACAGTAAATATATCTATGTATCTGTTAACAAACAAAAAACAAAAACAAATACCGGGGCATTACTGGGATCATAATTTTTCTTTAAAAAATATTCAAGCTAGTTATTTTATTTTTAAAAAGAGCTTTAAGAGAGAAATCTACTATAATTTTAAATTCTTAAATGAATGAAAAAAAAAACCTTTATACGATGTAAGTAACTACAGAGAGAAATGGGTAGACCCTTTAACGTCAAACTGTAGAGCTACTACATTCTTGGACCGATCCATTTCCCGCTTACATGGCCAGAGGCTTCGTGCATGCGCAGAAATTTGCTTCTATACGCAACTCCACTTTCAGCCAATCAGAGTCGCTCATTTAATACTTCTAGAGTGTCGTAGTCTAGTAGCCGGACTGTGGATCGCATGGCTCGCGGTTCGATTCCCGCCGCGGTACCCAATGTCTTTTGGTAAGATATTAATCTATATTAGTCACACTCCACTAAGGTATTAAAGGTAAATGGGTACCCGGTGGGAAGAAATTCTTTAAACGTGTGAGCGCCTTTTCCTAGTTTCTCGGCAAAAGCCGGGTTTGCAGGACCCTCAGGAGTACAGATGAAGCTACCCTGGGTAAAACAAGAAATATTAATATAGTCATTACTTGATTTATGGAGCTGTGTTTAGTAGAAGGGGAAAAGAGGAAGTGTTTATATGCAAAATGTTCCATACTTATAATAGTTAGATTACTTCCTTCGAGTTCGAGAGTCATGATTGTATATATTATTTGAATGTATATTATAGGTTCTCGATGTCGACGTCCTGTTATGATGGAGAGAACGAGATTGACGGCGGATTGTCTTGGGATGCGGGAAAGATACCGTTTCGGATGATGTACTAATCATACACATTGGTGAAAGGAGACGTAACCATTGGCAACCGAAGTGAGTTTCCATCATGAGAAAGAGAAAGGTATCAACCACCTCCAAGTTTGTGCGGTCCAAAATGTGGTGAGTATAGGAAAACACTATAGGCAATTTCAGGACTCCATTGTATTGTCCATCAGTAAATTTCCACTTGGACATTAAAAAAAAAAGATCAAGTTTCAAGTCAAATTTAACATTCTTCTGTAGATATTGTAGATAGTAAATATAAAAATGTAAACTGTAAATAAATTATATTGAGGGAACTATAACCTCGATTAGCATTACGTTATTTGTTAGTTCCTTTTACCAAAATATTGTCCATATTTACTCTTCGTTGCATTTATTTGAAACGAATGTTGGTAATTAATGAGTAAATCAAAATCAAATCAAATCATGTAATAGGTCACAGTAATTTTCACACGTTTCGATAGGTGCATGATGCACAAGGCTCTTGATATTGCAAAAGGTTCATTGTTCAAGTCTCTGCGATTACATTCTAGCCTAAATAGCAAAACAAAAAAGCGAGCAGTCATATATGCATCAAACTGGAGAACAGAATGTAAGAAAAAAATGACGGGATCAAGATTAAATCTAGCCATTTTGGAGCTTGAAATGAAGTCCTAGCATCAAGGACAAAAGAAACATGCCGAAACCCGGGACAGTTCAGAACTCATGCGAGTTCTCCGGGTGGTTTCGAACCAGGGACCTTTAGATCTTCAGTCTAACGCTCTCCCAACTGAGCTATTTCGGCTGTTGAATAACCGACTAGCATTTTCTCGTCATGATCGCATAATACTGGCGAATCTTAATAACCTGGAAGGAAACATAAAAGTTGAAACATGACAGAAAAATTAGCAATAATAAAAATGATATCTTAAAAATTCAAGATAAGTGAGAAGAAAAAAAAAAACGCAAAGTAAACCTTCAACGAAAGTGGCTCAGTTTCACAAGAATAATATGGATAAACTAGGCAAAAAGACCCTGCCGAAACCCGGGACAGTTCAGAACTTCATGCGAGTTCTCCGGGTGGTTTCGAACCAGGGACCTTTTTATATTCAGTCTAACGCTCCCCCTATTGAGCTATTTCGGCTGTTGTATATCATTTGTCAAATATCATTTCTAGATATCCTCACCAATTTTTATTATTTTGCGTAAGTCGGTCAATGACCTTATGCAAGCTTGCGCTAAAAGATTGTCTATGCGTCTCTCTGACGTAACACGTTTTCATTATCAAATATGCGCACTATGGCTTTCTCTACATTCTGCGCAACCAACCTGTAAATTACCCTGATGCGCGTCAAGCAACGCCTAGCAACTCCGTAGCAACCTCTACGCGTACCATTGTTTTCTTTAAATTCACCCTTTCACCATTTCTGGCTCTTTTTCGCACAAGGGAAAATTGAACATCATCAAACCTGCAACTCTTTTAGTACTAAGCCATTACATGTGAATACTGGAAAAGGTGATTAAATAACCACCTCTCTTTTGGAACTTTTTTTCAGGCAGCTAAGATAAGATTAACATCATGGCACAGAAGAGCTTTGACGCTGTTGGATTCGGTAAGGATCTGCTCGCCGGCGGAGTATCGGCGGCGGTTTCCAAGACTGCAGTAGCACCTATCGAGAGGGTCAAGCTGCTGTTACAGGTTAGTCAAAATTAATATTCATCATTTTATTTAACGTTCGGCTCGAGAGGTGCTCTCGTTGTATTTGTTTAATTACTGAAATAAATGGTCTTATTGTTTCGCTCTCTTCCTTTGTGATATTTAATTAAATTATGAAGAAAAATCCTGCGTACGCCACTGCCTCTTTCCATTGGTGAAATCAGATTTTCGAAATCTTACTGATTTTTTGAGATGGCGAACTTTGGTCACACCACCATACATTAGTCGAGGACCAGCTCTCTGACACACCCGAGTGGTAAATTAACCGTTGCAATTCATATGTCTGCAAAAGTTTAACAGAGGTGTCGCCAGACCATGTCGAATTAACTTTGCCGACAGGAAAATTGCCAATGACGCAATTTTGTTGTTGTTAAAAGATTTACTGATCCCCCCCCCCCCCCTCCCAATGCACCCCATACCCAAACTCTTATTGTTAAGGCACCTTCCTCAGCTCAGACAACAAATTCCGAATCTTTTTGTTCTTGTTGTTTTCCTTTTATAGGTTCAAGCTGTCTCCAAGCAGATTGCCGCCGACAAACAATACAAGGGCATCGTCGACTGTTTCACACGCGTCGCGAAAGAGCAAGGGACGCTGTCGCTCTGGCGAGGCAACCTCGCCAACGTCATCCGATACTTCCCGACTCAGGCTCTCAATTTCGCTTTCAAGGACAAATACAAGCAGATCTTCCTCAGCGGAGTCAACAAGAACGAGAACTTCTTGCGGTACTTCGCTGGGAACCTGGCGTCGGGAGGAGCCGCTGGAGCGACGTCGCTCTGTTTCGTCTACCCGCTCGACTTCGCGCGTACGCGTCTGGCGGCCGACGTCGGTAGTAAGGCCGGAGGTGGCAGGGAGTTCAACGGCCTCGGTGACTGTCTCAAGAAGATTGTGAAGTAAGTTTTGATCCTTCTTCAACAAAATTACAATTTAATATCGTTGATTATGGTGTTCAACCAATCGCAAACTTGATTAATATACTGTATATCATAATTATAACTCTTTCAGAAAGTCAATCGAATAGAGCTACCATTTATATTAAACTCAAATTACGCTGCAGTCATATTTGAATCAAACGAAACACTCATGAGAATGTTGAATTTATGATTTATTTGATGTTTCTTCCCGTCTAGGGCGGACGGTTTCGGTGGCCTCTACCGAGGTTTCGGTGTGTCTGTCCAGGGGATCATCATCTACCGTGCCGCATACTTCGGCACCTATGACACCGTCAAGGGAATGATTCCCAAGGAGTACCAGAACTTCTTCCTTTCCTGGATGATCGCCCAGGTTGTCACCACGATGGCTGGCGTCACCTCATATCCCTTCGATACCGTGAGTGACCAGGGATACCCCCCCCCCCCCCGCCACAAAAACACACACACACACACACACACAATCGCAAGGGCTTTCGATAGATCATAACCATATCCATCACCCATTGAAATATACGAGCATTACAATGACATGCACATGAAAATGATTGCACAAAACTTATCATTGATGGTAACTTTGCCATCCGTGGTAACTTCCATGGAAGCCTTGATTATGGTAGGCTGTTGAGCCCTGTTACCATGGCAGTTGCCAGTGATGGCAAAGTTACCATCAATGGTAATTGTTATGCAACAGGGGCACAGGGCCCAGATTTAGGAAGAATTTGCATTATGAAATCTAAATTTTAAGGGATATCAAACTTTCCGAGGAGAAAGAAAAGCTAAATCGGTGCCGAATCGCAGTCAGACCAGTAAATGCAATTGTTTACGATTTGACACCAATCTTTATTTTCTTCTGACTAGAAGGCTTAAATCCAGTAAAATTCCGGTTCATAGTATTCTTGTAGTACTATTATTAGAGTTCCATATCCAATGCAATTGCAATTTTCTTCGAAAGTCGGATCGTAAGACGGTCGTATAGTGTGCGGGGGCTTTAATAAGTCGATTATTTGGAGGTCTTAGCGATTGTGTTCATTTCCTTGTGGAGGGGGAGGGGGTCGGATCAGGAATAGCCAAAGAATTTTGGTATCCTTGTGAATATTTGTATGAAAAACTTCCTCTCTGACACGTAAAAACATTAGGCCTATTTTAGGGCCCAGTTTCATAAAACTTGCTATCAATAACAACTGCTACAGATCTTTAACAAATGCAAGGATTTCAGTAGCTTACAACAATATCGTTACCTGATATTGATTACAATGATTGAAGATTGAAATGCAAAGATACTATTTCATAAGAAGCCGCCTTTCAAGAGTTGCGATTGATTCAAATCGTTTGCAACTCCTGTCATTAGAAGGGCGATTGTATATATTTCAGATCCGTCATCATTTTTCATTTTTGAATGCACTAAGCGGAAAGCGGTGTATCGTGGGCAAAGTAACTGAACATTGTAAATTACAGAATGAAAACCGCCACGAATTAAGTCGAATTATTGGCGCTTTTATCAGGTAAACATTCAGTACTTTAATCATGCAGCACTCTGTGTCGTCGATTTGACGTCGAGAAGCGCAGTGAAATGTACCCTGCCTACATAAAAACTTATTTTATAGATCGTCTCTTTGTGACGTACATGTAGATGTGTCAACGGGACTTTACCGCCCGATGAAAATTGATTATTGCGTCTCTTTCGCCACCCCCTTAATTTCAATTGGATTTTCGTCTTGGGTTTAAATACAAAGGTTTGCGCCATTAACAAATCACAGACTATCAATAAACAAGAAAGTAAGCGAGTTATTGAATGGCACAATCCTTTTGATTCGGTGGGTATTGCGATGTGCCCCCCCCCCCCCCACTCAGTGTTATTTAGGGTATGCATGCATATGCGTGTTCCCAGCGCACCCCCCCCCCCCCCCACCTTTCAGCAAAAGTCCGGTGTGTAAAATCAATACGGGTAGACCTTTTTTCTTTTGTTATACGAGCCTTTTCAGCACCCCCCCCCCCCTTGTTACGAGTTGGAGATTTTGGGAACACACATGGTATTCCTCAGTTCCCGGAGTGGGGGGGGGGGGGGGGGATGTGTCGGTAAAGTACCGTTAACATAATCTAATTCACATATAGGCCATTGACCGACGAACATACAATTATAATAATTGGTGAGGATATGCGGACATGTTAATTTGTAAGTCAACAGCCGAAATAGCTCAGTTGGGAGAGCGTTAGACTGAAGATCTAAAGGTCCCTGGTTCGAAACCACCCGGAGGACTCGCATGAGTTCTGAACTGTCCCGGGTTTCGGCATGTTCGTTTTTTTAATTTAAAGATGTAGATCTAATAATTCACAAATTTCGACATTTTGCGTCATCTTTGAAATGCGAGAACAATACATTTTACATCATCTGACCATGATTTCAATCTCAATACAATAAGGTAATGAAAGTCCCCAGGAGTAAATAAATACCTTAATGTATTTTGATCGTTTTCATTTTCCTCGATCTCCACTGTCGATAAAGTCATAACCGATATGTCAATCACGTTGTCGTCTGCAGGTTCGAAGACGCATGATGATGCAGAGCGGCCGCAAGGATGTCCTCTACAAGAACACCATTGATTGCTGGAAGAAGATCGCCAGCCAGGAGGGCCCCAAGGCTTTCTTCAAGGGAGCCTTCTCCAACGTCCTCCGCGGGACCGGCGGCGCCCTCGTCCTTGTCCTCTACGACGAGATCAAGAAGCGCATCTAAGAAGAAAACGAACGATTACGAACATTCCTACTCACTTCTCTTCTGTTTATTTATTTGTCACTGTCATGCAACGGTTGGCCCTTGATAGGAAATTAAGATATTCATCATCTTAAACCAAAATCTTTTTTTTTCTTTTTTCTTTTTTCTACAAATCAATTTTAGTAGTGGGAATAGTGCCGCTAAATCATGATTTTTATTTTCCACCATCCAGCTTGAGCACTGTTCTTTGTTATACCATCCTTTTGTTTTGAAGTGCGAGTATTATTGTGTAACCAAATGAAATAAATATGTAAATATGCAGGTATTCAAGTGTGAAGTGTAATACTTTGTTCCGTGATAGTTTTAGAAATGAAAGAAGAGCATGCACAAGAACAGCTACATTTTAACAATACTTTCGTTCTGCTATCCATCATCTCTCCTCTCTGTCTCTATTTTTTTCCTTCTACGTACCCTCAAGCTCCTCTCTATCTCTTTTTGCTCGTATTGGTCAACTTCACCACTGCCTTCTTCATCATGCAAAAACGTTTCTCTCTCCTTATCAATTCCCTATATCTTCTATTTCCCCTTTCATTTTCTATCATATTTACACTACCCTTTTCACTGTTCTTTCTCTCACTCTCCTCGCATTACCCCCGTCTCTCTCTCTCTCTCTCTCTCTCTCTCTCTCACACACCCTTCCCCCCTCTATCTCTCTCTAATCTTCCTTCCTTTGTCAATCAATCTCTTCCACTCTCTCTCTCTCTCTCTCCCTCCCAACCTACATTGTATGTATTTGCCATCCTCCCTCTCTTTCCCTATTTCATTTTCTACTCACTGTTTTCCTTTACTTCACAAAAGAACCATTCATCCGAAATCACTTGCTGATGAGGAGTGGAAATGGTACCTAACAAAATGGCAAATGTATGCTTACATAAATATAATAATCATCAAGTCACAATCAAAAGACAAACTTCCTTCTCGTTCATGATTTTTTTTTTTTATTAACGATTTGACAATAGGTCTATATATAAAGTGCACTATAGAATGAATTGGATTTGTATTACCGTAAATACTAAATATTAAGCCAATTTCAAATCGGGCTGGGGAATGTGAGTGTTGTTTTTTCCAACAGCTTTAAGAGCGTCTTTTCTAAAGGCGCATTGAGGTATGACGAGGCAAAATAACAGCACAAAATAGAGAGGTATTCTGAAAACTACAGTTTACAACTTAATCACTCGTACCCTAACAAGGTTTGGTCATTTATTAAAAATTGATTTGACCCACTATATGCAGGGGTGATTAGTGAGCACGAAAAAAAAAGGGGGGGGGGTTCCCTCAACCACGCCCCCCTTGAGTAAAAAAAAGAAAGAAGAGGATTTGCTGGAAAAAATGGCATCTAACAACATTCCCCCCCCCCCCCCCCTTTTGAGTGACAAAAAATGGGGAAATAATAGGGGAAAATAAGGAAGAATAGAGAAAGTAAGGGGAAAATTGGGAAGAAAATCGGGAAGAAAAAGAAGACAAAAAATCAGGAAAAAATATTTTAAAATCAGGAAACCAATTTAAATTGTGTTTTTATCAGCCCTGTTTATGTTTCTTGAGAATGTGACACATTAAAACTTACATCCTAAAGCATTCAACAAAGGCCCTAATTGAACCACTCCATCTTTCATTCTTGAGTTACGAAAACACAAAAAAACATCAAATTGACAAGAGGTATGAATAATCTGGTTGTTAACTGTAGGTTCTCTTTGATGTTAGTTACCAGTATGTTACTTGAAATTATGCTTAATACACCTTTATCATTGGTGCTCGAGCGGATGTCCCTATGCGCACGAGCACGAAGCCAGCTTGCGCAAATATTAGATAGACTTTACCTAATTTACATTTTCTGTGACAACTGACATACTTCTACAAACATTAAGACCCGAATTCACAAAGGAGGTTTAACTTAACCCATGGTTTAATTAAACCCTCATTTACATAACCCATGGTTTAAAAATAAGCGCAAATTAAGCATACCTTGCCTTGCGGGCGTCTAATATTGGACCTCTGACTGTGTCGCGCTTATTTTGCGCTAATTTTAGACCATCGGTTATGTAAATGAAGATTTAAACCTGCTTTGTGAATTTGGGTCGATAGGTAACATAGTTTTCAGAATGGCACCTTTGATCACCTTACAGTCATGGTATGCCTACACCAAGTCGTTTAAGATAATTCTCCTTTTGTGCATACATTGGATTTGCAAGCAGCTCGGAAGCATCTAAATATCTGTGCCTCATCTTAACCTGCCAAAAGGTATGGGAGATTATTATGTCAGAATGGTTGATATGAGCAAGATATAAAAATAGACTGACTTCCCAGCCAGTGTCTTGGCCTAGGCAATTTCAGACTGGATTGGCTTTTAAGGACGTTCCACAGTAATATTCATACACGTCTAGTCTTAGCTGTGCGGGGCCAGCTGGTTATGTATTTACTACGCACCATATCAGGAACTCCATGGCTTGTGCAAGGTGAGTAGTACCAGCTGGCCATGTACGGCTCAGGTGGGAACAAATGTTACTTTGGAATGTCAAGAAAGGCATCGTTTAACAATGTGAAATATGAGATGCATGGCCCTATGGGCTATCAGTGTCTGTGACATGGTGTAATATTGAAGCCCAACAAAAATTGTGCTTCAAAATTATCATGAAGTGCCTCAAAAAAGTAAAAATCTTTGAGTGACCGGTTTTACCATAATCATTTTCTCCAATAGACTTTAGTGTTAAGAACAAAATTAGGAAAACAAAAAAATTAAATTTCAATTTCCAATCATAAATATCTTGATAATCAGACAGGCGATCGGCTTGTAAAAGTCATGGGATTCCTGACTGACCTAAAGGTTTAAAATTATGATTGCAGCATGAGCTAAATCCAGGATTTTGTTTCAGAATCTGAGTTACTTTAAGAGATGATTTTCACATAATTTACAACCTCCTTACAGGACCATTTTCACTTAATGGAGTCAAAAAAACAATCCTATTCGTTAGGATGTTCAACAGCCAATAAAAGGATTAAAAATTGATGTAGTGATATTTACTTATTTATTCTGATCTTTTGTCAGGGTAGCCCATAGTTTTCATCAATCCCTCTCCTCCATTTCCAGAATTTCCTGTGTTTTATCCCCGCTTTATATTACTGCTAAGGTGTGTCAGCATGACTGATACAGAGTTACATAGAAATCTCAAATCGCTTCCTGTAAGACAGAGAGAATGATGCCTCTGTTCAGAACTGGGCCTTGCAAGTCAAAGGTTTGCAATTGATTGCAAAACGGCAATGGCCAATCAAGATCGTTGTTACATGCACATATTGTTGAAAAGGCTGACAATAACCAATCAGAATCATTATTTTAAATCTGCAATCATATGCAAACGTTCATGTTTCCAAGAAGGAGCAAAAGTGAAAACATTTCACAGATGACCTTTGTGGGGGGGGGGGGGGGTGGTAAATGCACCAAAGGTCGCCTGGCAATGTCTTTCAAAAATCAGTTATAGAAAGACGCTTGTCTAGTAAGGCAAGGAAATCCATAAGACCATGGACAAAAGGACAGAAGGGACAGAAACTACACAGTCGATACAAGTACTCTCTATTTTAAAATGTGCTTTCTTTCACAATTTGTGAAGGGGTGCTTATGAAAGGTGGACAATTCACTGGGCTCTGTCAAAAGATGCTCAATCATTGTTGATTATTATTTATTAAGTTAAACTGTGCAGATGTAGATTAACATTCTTACTATAACAAAAAAATTTAATGCAAAGAATGTTTTTTGCCATAATTTAATTGAGGTTATTGGAAATATCAGAAAAAACTTTGGGCATCCTATCTGGCACTTCATATACAAGTCGTTCATAAAGTCATGCGTAACTTTACGAACAGCTTCATGAAACACCCCCCTGGTACTTCTTTTATGGATTAAATGGAAAAAGTCCCAAGTGAACTAGTCCGGACACACTGATCACAGGGTACTCCTAGATGGAAGAAGAAGAACACACAAATTATCTGGCAAGACAAGATTCTGCACCTGTCGCTCTGCGTCCATGTGTAATGTATTGCAAGAAGAGTATCCTCTAATGCTAGGAGCAGTGTAGTCTAGCTAAAGCCTGATAACCGGAAGGCCTTGATCATCTTGGTGTAAAAGTGACATCCCATAATATCACAATTTGTTGGTTGCCCAGGAAAAAACGTCGCGTAGCGCTACACTACCTTTTGCCGGGAAGTGAAATTATGGTTTGGGCTTTTTTGTTTCCAGCAAAACGTAGTGTAGCAAAAGAAAGATATATTTGCAAATTAATTTAAGAACATAATAAATCAGGTAAATATCTATCTCTAGGAATAGTTTTGGCTACATGGAACATAGAAACATAGTCGTTTTTAGCACTTGAAGTAGGTATTAAAACTTCAAAAGCGTTTTTTGCGGTTCCCCCTTTTTTACCAGCGATCACGCTACGCGACCTTTTACCGGGCAACCGACGAATCATCATTACTACTATAAATATGGTTCATAATCCTGATCATACAGAGGATCATCATTTCTTGGTGCTTTTGTGTTCCTTTGCTATCTTCTCTTTCCTCTTCTTGATGTGTTTGGGGACTTTGTTTTTCCTGTTCTCTCGCTTCTCTTCCTTGATGGCTTTCTTCCTCTCCTGCAAAAATAAAAAAAAATATGAATATAGAGGTAAGTTTAGGCTTTCACCATTCTTGAATTGAACTGAAATGAATTACACTCAAAATGGAAATTCGCTGCTCACTGGTATTACAAACAACGTACACAGTTATAAAAATTATAAAACATAATAACTACATAACAACAATGGTGTTACAATGTACATCCAACAGTATATAGATCTTCAAAACCTGCATGAAAAGCCTTCTTTTGATTTATTGTCCACTAAAAAATGAAAATTCGTTGCTCACTGCTATTACAAACAATGTACACAATTATAACAATTATAAAATATAAGAACAACATGACAACCATGGCGTGACATCCAACAATATAAAGATCTTCAAAAGGAAGACTAAATATGTGTAGTTTCATGGAAAACAACAGATATACCAGTAGTTTAGGTTAACCAGGAGATGTTGACCTTTCACATGCCCAACAGACTATTTCTGTGGTGTCATGTCGACGCAGTCACCTCTGCGAAACATCCAGAAACGAACGACCCCGCCCACCTACATTTGGTTGGTCTAAACTATACTACGAAAGATGATCACATCATCAGTACATAATAACAATTTACAATGACTTTCAGATTGGTTTTTCAGATGCAGCTCAACTGTGAGTACTTGAAATAGGTTTACAGGCTTTAAGCACACCTACAGAGTGCTGTATTTAGCCTTCATGCCAACTTGGCCTAGGTTGGGGTTCAGAAAACTCTTTTGCCATCAAAATCATCAATATCAACATCATCATCACTGTCATCGTCCTCATCATCAACACCATAATCATCATCAAAACTTCGACTATGGAAAAGCATTCTTATTTACTTTGATGATGACGATGCACTCTTTGAAAAGCGATGCTGTTTTTCTGAAATCCTGTCTGCAATAATATTAACAGCATCACCATCATCATCATCATCAATATCACCTTCACTATCAACACCGCCCTCATCGTTATCGTATTAATTATTTTCACAAAGACCTGCAAGAAAATCTTTCGTACTTTTTTTGCTGTTGGCGATTCATCCCTTGGTCTGTGATGCTGTCTTTCTGATGTCTTCTCCTCATCTTCTTCCCCACTCTCCTCATCCTCCTCCTCCTCCTCCTCCTCCATCTCCTCCTCCTCTCCGGCTTCTCCCTTTCCCTGGGTCTGTCCGGGGCCGACCAGCCTGTCTTCAAGTAAGGCAGGATCCTGCGCAGACAAATATAATTACTCTATTGAAGTCTACATCATTGTCGCAGCTAACTAGAAACAGCTGAAGAAAGGAACAACTTGAGAACCAGTGTCTTAAGGTCCATTTCCTTGTGCCCCCCAAGGCATCTACGGTAAGCTAAGGGACATATATATAGAGATAGATAGATGAACTCTACACTGACATCTCTTCTGTGTTCACCAAGTCTACTTTGTTTGCCTTTAAATCCTTTCCAAGCCATGTGCAACAAATTACCCAAAAATGTTGAGTGCTGAACTATGTGTAGCAACTAATAATGGCTGTGCTTCATTGTCCAGTTTGTTCACCTAGTAGATATTTCATCCCAAATTTAAAGATTAAAATGAAGTTCAAATGTAACTCTTGCCTGATAACTGCTTTAGATCACTTCCTTTTGACAGGCAAATATAATTCATTCTATATTGCTAGAAACTAAATCAATATTCATCTCTAAGACTTAATCTTCATCTCAGAATTTGACCATACCTCTTGAATACCACTCAGGTCTCCTTTCAGTCCTGTGATTGTCTTATAGTACATCTGCACAAGAAAGAGAAAACACAGAATTAGTAAAAACAATTTAAACAAAAATCACATTTTCTTCCATATATTAATATCTAATCATTTGGGATTGTACTGTAAACATCCAGGGTTTAAGATTGTAGAATTAACATTTTCACAGCTAACCAATTTTCATATGGTAATTGTGACTCTATGTGCACTATTTACATAATGCGATAACATGCAACCTTTCGTTTCTATGTGTGAAATAAAAAGCAAGTGGGATTTTTTTTGAAGTAGCTGCATGCAACAAGGATCCAAAGTGAGCTCCCTTATCTGTGTGTTAAAACATATACAAATGTGATGTGCAGTATGCTCTGAAGAAAACCCTGCTGTAAAGCACAGCGTTCTTTAACAGCATTTGTGGGCCTTAAAGGGATCGTTTAACAATGTTAAATCTGAGATACACGGTCCTACATGTTACCAGTGTCTGTGATATGGTGTAATATTGAAGCCCTAAAAAAATCGCGCTTCAAAATGATCAAGAAGTGCCTCAAAAAAGTACAAATCTTTGAGTGACCGGTTTTACCATACTCGTTTTCCCCAATAGACTGTAGTGTTATGAAAACCGTTCGGCGAACGGTTTTCAAAATTTGTAATTCCAATCATTAATATCTTGATAATCAGACAGGCAATCGGCTTGTAAAAGTCATGGAGTTCCTGACTGACCTAAAGGTTTATAATTATCATTCATACATGCCAACATTTGAAAATCAGAAATCTGTACAAATTATGCTATTTAAAAAAAAAAAGAGGAACAATCCTAACTCTCCTATTCAATACTACAGACAAATTTGTACAGGAAGAGGAACACCTGCATTAAAATGATAATTATCTTCTCCCAAAAAGAGGAATGTTCCTCTTTAATCTGAACAGTTGGCATGTATGATCATTGCAGCATGAGCTAAATCAACGATTATTTCTAAAGGATCTAAGACAAAGTTACCGGATCCCTTTAAAGCCCCACTGCACTACTTGCGCCCTCTATATAGCAAACAATGCCTAATCGGTGACCATTGGTCCCCCATGATCCTCTTTTTCTTATGTTAATTGAGAGCTGACTTGATGAGAGAACCACCTGTCAGTGATCTTGCAGGGTGGTCTTATCCCTCCTGTGCACTAGTATAGATGGGCTTTAAAGACGTATAGTAGTGAGCTCTAATGGGGAATACTACACAATTTAGTGTCGTCAATCACCAGGATTAGCCTTCAGTTTTATGACCAACAGGCCTTATGTAATGCTCTGCATTTCCCTCACTCAGAGACTTTCTGAGAAACTAGGGGGTATTTCTTGATGGGACTTATATACCCATTAATGGTATTTCCACTAAGTCTTGTTCGTAACAGCGAATTATGACCTTCTGCACATAGAAACTGGCGACCATCTCCCTTTAAAGCCTATCTGCACTAGTTTGGCCAGGAGGGATTAGACCTCCCTGCATGGTCACTGGCAGGTGGTTATCTCATCAAATCAGCTTTCAATTAACATTAAAAAAAGGGGACCATGGGGGACCAACTGGTACCACTTAGGCATTGTTGGCTATATAGAGGGCACAAGTAACTACAAGTAGAGCCACTGAAGAAATCATATTAAGAAATTCTTTTAATAATAGAAACTTTGTTCTCACCTCATGCTCCTTGTTTTCTTTTGCTTTGACAATCTCTTTTTCATAGTGCTTGACCTCTTCTAGCTTCTGAGGGATGAATGCTTGCCTGAACACCTGGATATAAACAGAAATGAGTTAAATAAATAATAGTAAAATATGGACACTGAGAGTGCTACCCTGTTCACAGGAAACTAAAAATTAATTAAAAATGTAATAATATTTTACATTTCAGAATTCATGAGGTGTACTCGCACTACATTTGTACCAGAATTCTTTAGTGAGCTATTAGGGGTAAGGCTAGGCTCGACTAGCACATATGATATTATCTGGCCCCTTTTTCCCAACTTGCACATATCATTTTATGAAATGTAATAATAATAATCATAATAATTAGCTCTTTTATAGCGCATTTGATTACCAAGGGTAATACTAATGCGCTTTACAAACATTTCAAAATCAAGGTACGAAATGCAGAAGACAATAGAAATAAAGACATATGAAGAAATAATGACATATGAATTAAAAGTAAGTAGGCATACAGTATACATTAAAAAAATGATAGTAGCTTGACTAACTTCTATAAAAGGTGATACATGTTTTATAATATTTGAAAATTGTTATAACGGTGATAAAGGCCCAATACAACAATATAGATAACAATTAATAGATAAATAAACATTCCGTTTGTTGGGAGACTCTGTGGAAAACTCTTCCTGGCATTATGCTATACATTCAGTCAGTCACAACGCAACACATGTAGGGTACGAAATGGAACGTACTTAATTGCCGTTTGTTTTGCTTGTTTGTTTGTTTTACATGATTGCTCTTAACGAAAGCATGTGTATGCTTGTAAGTAAGCGAGCAGCGGAACGATGGCTTTAAGTCCTCTCTGAGGGACTAGGTAATGAGGATGAATGCCTTGCCAAAGGACACTAGTGCATCGACTTGGCTACAAACCCCGGACCTCCCAGTTACGAGACCACTGCTTCTTTACCATTAAGCCATGGCGCCTCCTGCTGCTGGTACATAAATCAGGAATGATAATGATCACTCAACCATGCCCCTCAACCTGGCCCCCCTTGAGTAAAAAAAGGGGGGATTCGCGGGGGATAAAAGGTTATCTACAACATTCCCCCCCCCCCCCTTTTGAGTAAGAAAATTGGGGGAAAATTGGGAAAATACGGAAGAATAGAGAAAATAAGGGAAAAATAAGGGAAAAATAGGGATAAAATCTGGAAGAAATAAAAAAAATAAAAACAAAAACAAATCAGGAAGAAAAAAAAAATCAGGAAAAATAAATAAATTGGGTAATTATCAGGCCTGATAAATAAAAAATCAACTATCAAATATGTTTCTCACCTCTTCATCCACCTCCTCCTGAGCTGTGACCTCTGTGGTCGACTTTCTCGACGTAATCTCCATGGCCTGTGCGAGAAAAGGTGAAGAGAAAGAATGTGGAGAATATTGGCTCATTGTATCAACGGTATTCTGTAATGAGCTTTCAAGAGTCATATTTCTATTTCTATTTCATTCCTTCCTTATTTCTATTCTTTCTTTTTCTTTCTTTTTTTTTTGTCTTTCTTTCTGTCATAAGAAAATCATGGATAATATTTTCAATTCACATAGATATATTTTGATGCCATTCATGAGTCAGCGTTAGAGTTAAATACACAAGTTAAAAAGCAGTTACAGTGTGAGTGATATGACTGGATATTTTTTCACAATAGATGTCTTCAAAATCTGTTTGATTTGTTCAACTGCTGGTGATGAATTCAGTCGAAGAAGAAGCCTGTTTCAAATTTCTTTCTTTCTTTCTTTCTTTTTCTTTGTTTGTTTATTTGTTTCAGAAATATAATTGGGAGTTATATGCATACATGCATACATACCTACATACACACACATACAAACTTATGACATAGCCACAGGAGTTACATGATTAACCTCTTAGTACAATAAAAGAGTATTTGGCATCAACTGGGCATATGAGGATCACGCTATTGAGCAAAAAAAATCATGCGTTGTCAGCCAGAAGGGCAATAAAATTTAAATAAGAGTACTATAATGAATTTATGCCCTTCCAGCTCCAAAATAATAATACAGCTCCTCAGAATTATCAAAAATTACCATTAAAATACTATTATTGCCTATTTCTCTACCTCCTGAAAAATGCAAGAAGGTGTGTGCCGTTGCCTAGACAACCTTCAACGAAATTCACCCTTCAAACACCCTCCATGATCTCCCGATACGCAAGTTTTATGGATTACCTCATCAAGATATTCCTCGATATTGTCTTCGGTGATATTGGGGTCGGTGACAAACTCAAAGAGCTCCCTCATGGTCATTGTACACACACCATTCTTCCTGAAGTACTCTGCATAAAAGACAAGATGGAGAACGTGTTTATAGGTACCTGGGTCCCGTCGCATGAAACATAATGCCGATGATAACTTTAACATCAATATCAATTACCATGACAACATCACTCAACACACAATCAAATCAAAGTTTCTATGGAGGTTTTTTACATTAACCGCAAAGTTTCCATCAAGGGCCATTTACATTGAAGAAAAACTAAATTTGGAAAACAGTCAGTTTTTTAAACTTAACATTTACAATTATGGAAAAACCCATGGTTGTTTGGTGATTTGGGCACATGGGCCACTTGCCCCTGCTCTGGAAGCGTTTAGCATGAAAGCGAGGAGAGTCATGCGACCAAAAATCAGAATACTTCACAGGTGTTTTGAGAGTGCGCATTTACACTGGAAAAACCAATGGAGTTTCAGCCAGCATTTACACTGGAAAAACCAATGGAGTTTCAGCCAGCACTTACACTGGAAAAACCAATGGAGTTTCAGCCAGTATTTACACTGGAAAAACCAATGGAGTTTTAGCCAGCATTTACACTAGAAAAACCAATGGAGTTTCAGCCAGCATTTACACTGGAAAAACCAATGGAGTTTCAGCCAGCATTTACACTGGAAAAACCAATGGAGTTTCAGCCAGCATTTACACTGGAAAAACCAATCGAGTTTCAGCCAGCATTTACACTAGAAAAACCAATGGAGTTTCAGCCAGCATTTACACTGGAAAAACCAATGGAGTTTCAGCCAGCATTTACACTGGAAAAACCAATGGAGTTTCAGCCAGCATTTACACTGGAAAAACCAATGGAGTTTCAGCCAGCATTTACACTGGAAAAACCAATGGAGTTTCAGCCAGCATTTACACTGGAAAAACCAATCGAGTTTTAGCCAGCATTTGAAGAAAAAAACAAACTCTGGAGGTTGGTTTATTAATTTGGGTATCTTGTTGTGTTAAGGGGTAGTTGCCTAGCAACTTCCGACAAAATTCCGGAATATGAGAAAAATCAATGTTTTTTGCTGGCAGTGTAAATGCAGCTATAGTGAGAGATTTAAAGAAACAGATAGATGAAAGAAATGCCAAACAAAAAAAGAAATTATATATTCACCTGTGACATTGGTGCAGTCTTTGCGGAGGAACTCCAGGGCACTGGGATGATCATGCTCAACGGACTGAGACACATCAATGATATACAGCTTGTCCTGACAATATCTGAGAAGTAACAACACAATACATATCGTTCGTTTCTTTGTTTTTATTTCTGCGTTTTCGAAATAGAACATAATCATAAACATAAAGTAACAATTATTTCTTCATTTTACATAATTATACATTTGTAAGTACATTAAATAAGATGCATACAAACACAAACATTTTTTTAATGAAAAAAGATAAATTACATAAAACGCAGGAGACCACCATCATGAGCGGTAAGCTTGAAATCGATGGCTAGGTTATTGCCATTTGGTCCAAAAACCACTTGCTCCAATACCCACTTTGTCTCATTAAATGTAGTCAACAATTTCATAAACTCGTCCTGCTGCATCGTGAAATATGCAGATCAGATCCTGGGATACACCCTTCTATCCCACTCAAGGCTATTCAATATTACATAATTATCTTGTGATCTCGTATGCAAGCACTTCTGTCTTCCATACATAATATTTTTTTACAGGGTACCTCTGCAAAGATGGCTTTACAATTTCCAATACAGTCAAACCTGTCTACAGCGACCACCCAAGGGAAACACAAAAAGTGGTCTTTGTAGACAGGTTCCTTTAGTACATGTACATGTTTCAATGAGAAACCATTTTCAAGGGAAACAAAAAATGTGCTTGTTGTAGACAGGTGGTCACTAAAGCATGTTTGACTGTACTATCAACTCACAACATGTTGAATTCGCTGAGATCGGCATGGACGAGCTTGGCTTTCTGGTATATCCTTCGGACCTGCTGAATACATTCCAAGTAGAGCTCCCTCGCCTTGCTCTCACTCAGGTTTACGTCCTTCAGCAGTGGAGCTGGCCTGGTATATGAGACAAAACAACACATGGTACATGTATTTTAAAAGCATAGTATCTCACTCAAATTTGGTCCAGAATAGGGTCATTGGTGCCCCTAAATTGTCCATAACAAGAGGAAGGAAGGGAGGGAGAGAGAGAGAGAGAGAGGAAAGGAGGGAGGGAGAGAGAGAGAGGAAGGGAGGTAGGGAGAGAGAGAAAGAAAGAGAAAGAAAGAGAGGGAGGGAGAGAGAGAGAGAGTGAGTGAGAAAAACAGTATCTCACTAAAATTTGGTCCAGAATAGGGTCAACTGTGCCCCTAAATTGTCCGAGGGAGGGAGAGAGGGGGAGAAAGAGAGTGAGGGAGAGAGAGTGTAAGAGTGAGAGAGAGAGAGGGGGGAGGGAGGAGAGAGAGAGAGAGAGAGAGAGAGAGAGAGAGAGAGAGAGAGAGAGGTAATGAGAGAGAAAAACACTGCATAGCATATTATGGTATCTCGCAATATTACAATGTCATAATGTACTGGTCGATGGTGCCTCTATTCTCAATTTTCTCATAAATGGTTTGGTTCTCAATACAGAGAAGAACAAAACAGAAAGCTGAAAACAGAACAGCCCTTCCCTTGACCTCAGGATAGTTTGTTTTTGACCTATATCAGGCATCTGCTCCCGGCACCATTTGGTCAATGATATAGGGCATATAGTTTATGTCAACACTGGCGGATATAGAGAAACACAACCCATGTACCCAGGCTCCCCCCCCCCCCTTTCATTTGAAGTGATGATTCTCTTTTTTTATTACAGTCAAACCTGCTTTAGTGACCACCTGTCTACAAAGGCCACATTTTTTTGTTTCCCTTGATAATGGTTTCTAATTGAGACATGTACTAAAGGAACCTGTCTACAAAGACCACTTTTTGTGTTTCCCTTGGGCGGTCTCAGATTCTAAAAAAATCCTGGATTTAGCTTACGCTACAATCATAATTATAAACCTTTAGGTCAGTCAGGAGTCCCATGAATTTTACAAGCCGATCGCCTGTCTGATTATCAAAATATTTATGATTGGAAATCAAAATTTCAAAAACCGTTTTCCTAACAGTTTTTATAAATCTACAGTCTATTGAGGGAAATAAGTATGGTAAAACTGGTCACTCAAAGATTTTTACTTTTTTGAGGCACTTCATGATCATTTTGAAGCGCAATTTTTGTTTAGAGCTTCAATATTACACCATATCACAGACACTGATAGCCCGTAAGGCCATGCATCTCAGCTTTAACATTGTTAAATGATGCCTTTAAAGGCCGGCTGTACTAGTTCAGCCAGAAGGGATTAGACCACCCAGCTAGCCAGCGAGGTCACTGTGACAGGTGGCTATCTCATTAACTCACCTCTCAATTAACATAAGAAAAAGAGGATCATGGGGGACCAACAGGTACCGATTGGGGAAGTTTTCTATATAGAGGGAGCAAGTAGCTACAAGTAGGACAGTGTGCCTTTAAAGCTGCATTCATTCAGAGTACCTACCATCCATCGATTCCTATGAAGTCCATGACAAGAACATGGCTTCTCAGGACATGTGGTTCAGGGCACCTCACTCCAGCATTATGTAACCTGAAATGAGCCAAAATAAAAGGGTTAGTATATTTCTTAACTCAGAGACTGCTGCATTCTCAAAATTCCCATCAGCCGAATAAATGTAACAACCCAGTTCACGAGACAATGGGTTAAAAAAACTCTTCTGAAATTTCTATTAACATGTCTTAATATATGGTAGACTTTCTCTGAGGAAGGCTTTAAAGGTAGTCAATAAAGTTAAAACAGAAAGAGTTTTTGTGTCCTTTATTTCTTCACATTTCTTCACCATTAACCTACTGCATGCCAGGCCTTTTGTAATCTTCTTCTTTTTTTGTGGTTGGATTAGCAAGTGGCACTTGTAAAATGGCGACTGGCTGGAATGCTTTCCACGGAGTGGAAAATGTGCAAACATTGTGTTGCGGGTAAGCCTGAATCCGATGACTGGGGTAATAATATGTGCTGCGCCTAGAAACAAAGTATTGTAATGTGAACTATTATTATTATTATTATTGATCTCTTTAAACCAGAAGAGCTCCACTTCAATTCTTTCACTGGGGTCCAGCCAGGGTAGTAATATGATTGCAGGGCCCTCAGGGAGAACAGCATTAATACTGATGAGGCTACCATGGGTAAACAAGACATATTATTGTTAAAGTTATTATTATTATATCTGCATCTATCTCTACTAACCTGAGAAGATTTCTCATCTCCTTCTCGGCCCACGTTCGGACCATCTTACGAGGGTTGCTCTTACAGTATCCATGTCGGAAACGGAATTCTCCCGTCACGTACTTGTCTCGATCTTTGAAAGTCAGGATTGACGTCTTGTAGATCTAACAAACAACAGAACGTTGATGAGAATGATGAAACAGTTCCCAATATCATAAGCACGATTTGGACAAACATTGTATCACCATAATGTATTTGTAATGATTACATTCCATTTTTGTTAAAACAATGATGCACATAAATTCAAACAATAATAAAACAACGCCATTAAAGATAAAGGTGAGTTCTGGTAAACAAAAGAAAATGATTTCTCACAGAATCAAACAAAACTTACACTGAATGTTCAAGATTACAAATAAATGTCATTTGCCAAACAATTTTGGTAGAAAATGTATACGGAACTGGCTGAGTAATGAGTATAGAAAGATTAGGAAATCAAGGTTAGTAGCCCTGACACCATTTGTGTAGTCCCATATACATCTTTCTGTGTACAGTGCTTGTTAATTTACCAAGACTGGGCCAAATGTATTATGATTTTGATGACTCAAGAACTTTGCAGTACACACCAATACTTACATGCTACATGATCTACTTTTTCTGATCCATTCCACACCTTTATCTTTAACCATGAAAGTAGTAAATATAGGATAGGCACATGGGACCCTTAAAATTTAACTCCACCATCTTTAATAAAAAACTAGATGGAACTTCGACTGCACGCAGTCGAAAATGATGCCTCCGTCAAAGAGCAATTTTACAAACCAAAACGGAAGAAATTTTTCAAATTCAAGTTCAATTGTAATCCATTAACAGGTTCTCAGAATATCGTGATTACAAGCAATTTCTCATATACATATATGACCCTTTGATCTTTGACCTCATGACCCAAGAATCTACTCAGTTCATTGGCTCTGCACGATACATATATGATCTAAGTTTGACAGGAATCCATCAATCGGTTCTTTAGGTAACGCGATCACAAGCTGTTTTTGCATACTAAGGCTGTGCACAACAGTGTAATGAGGTACCCGAGTACACTCCCAGGCTTACAAGCGAATACTCGAGTACTCGGACGCCATGTTTTTTTATAATTTTTTTGAATTTTTTTGAATTTTTTTGAATTTTTATGATTTTTTTTAATTTTTTTTTTTTTTTTTTTTTGCCACCACCATACCACTGGGGCAGTATCTCACGTCGCCGAAGACGCATGCAATTTTACTTTGAGTTGCAGTTGAAGGCGCCGATTTAATAATAACAGTAAACAATGCTGTTTTAAAAACCAAAGATGGCAGAATAATCCATTTTCCAAAGTCCAAACAGAAATCCAGACATTTGGTCCCAGTTTCTGAGTGGTGAGTTTGACAGTGCTTGAGTTGGGAAGCATTTTTACCGACGGCACCATGCCAGCGGCCGCCACTCACCCAGGCACGGGTAAGCGTCGGCCTGGACAGATTTTTTTTTTTTTGCGGCCGAATATTCGGGTACTAAAAATCGTACCTGAGTAGTTGTCAACCGTGCGGGTACTCGAGCATTCGACTACACATCCCATCCCTATTGCATACATAATGAGCCCTTTGACCTTTGACCTTTGACCTCGTGACCCCAAAATCTACTCAGTTCATCGGCTCTGCAAGATACATACATGACCAAAGTTTGGCAGGAATCCATCAATCGGTTCTTGAGATAACGCGATCACGAGCTGTTTTGCATACATAATGAGCCCTGTGACCTTTGACCTCGTGACCCCAAAATCTACTCAGTTCATCGGCTCTGCAAGATACGTACATGACCAAAGTTTGGCAGGAATCCATCTACTGGTTCTTCAGATAACGCGATCACGAGAACGTGACGTACGGACGTACGGATGTACGGTACCGTACGGACGGACGGACAACCCGAAAACATAATGCCTCCGGATACTTCGTAACGGAGGCATAATAAGTCAAATTCCTGTAGTTTCATCCCTACCTTTATTGCTCGATGATCTCCTAGCTTTGTCGTAGCATAATAGACGTTGGCTTCTTTGCCTGTACTGATACAGCCGTTGATTTCATAGATGACATTCCTACTCAACATCTTGAACAGTATCATCCTTGTTCTAGGGTCCATGACCTAACAGTAAATAAAGCAATTCAAAAATGTTGTACGATAATAATATTCTGCTTTTATATAGCGCCCAATACATTGATACAATGTGCCTAAAGCTACAGTCCCATATACGTCCCGGACCGTCCCGGACCATCCCGGACCCCATCCGGGGTGATCCGGGATTCGGTCCGTGTTGACACCGTGTTGGCACCGGGGTGGTCCTGGATGGTCCTGGATGGTCCTGGATGGTCCTGGATGGTCCTGGGCGGTCCGGGAGTCGACCCCGGATGTTTTTGACGGTCAAAAACTGCCGGGGTGGTCCGGGACGGTCCGGGACAAAAGTTTGATCCGGGGTGATCCGTGTAGCCACCGTGCTGGGTCCGGGGTCATCCGTAGTGGCGCCGGGGCGGTCCGTGTTGATCCGTGGCAGTCCGGGAGTGAGTTATTGACCGCCCAGGACCATCCAGGACCACCCCGGTGCCAACACGGTGTCAACACGGACCGAATCCCGGATCACCCCGGATGGGGTCCGGGATGGTCCGGGACGGTCCGGGACGGTCCGGGACGTATATGGGACTGTAGCTTTTAAAGCATCACACTTTTTTTAACAAAACATCCCGGACCATCCCGGATCACCCCAGACCATGGTCCGGGATGGTCCGGAGTGGTCCGTGCTCGTCCGTGCTGGTCCGGCTTTATATGGGACTGGGGCTTAAGCGCTTTGCATATATACTATTACCCCGGTCGTCGGATTCAGGCTTACCCGCACACAATGTATACCGGTACACATTTTCCACTCCCTGGGGAGCATTCCAGCCAGTCACCATTTTACAAGCGCACACTTGGTCATCCAACCATGTGTGCCGAAAGAATGAAGGGCAGTTACAAGATCGAGCCTGCGATCTTTATCTACTGGGTGCAAGCCAAAGATTTCTTTACAACGATTGAAACTTCTCCCAGGGAACCTTACACTTAAAGCAATCGTCCTAATGGTGTACTGACAGGGCTCAAATTAATTTTTTGTCCACGGGGGCTCTTCCCCCCCAAAAAGAGCCCCCGTAAGCCTTCTCACGGGGGCTCTTTTAGTACTGACGGGGGCTCTTTTTTATACAAATATCCATTGAATTGGTACCTATGATACTCCTCAATTATTTGCTATTTCATCATTATCATTTCAATCAGCATTTTCCCTCTTACAAATTTACAAGCTACATAGCTGTTACTGGCCTGTGTATATAATATAAACGCATACAACACTGATCTTTATGATGTCTTTAACGTGACATATCTTCTTCTCCCCTTGCAAACGAGAAAGAAAACAAGGTCATTAAAAGGGATTAAGCGACAAATAATGATTGTGATTCAAATTGATGCGAATATTTGTTTGAATAAGCACTGCTATTCACCCGAATCTTCTTTGTAAAAACAACTTTTACAAATCTCAGCCATGCTTACTGAGTTGAGACGTTCCATTCAATGTAAAATACTCATTAAAGAATACACTTCTCCTAATCTGAAAGTGATCTTACAACACAGTGGCAGATTTGCATGGCTGAGATTTGTAAAAGTCGTTTTTACAAAGAAGATTCTGGTGAAAAGCATTGCTTATTAAAAAAAAATCCTTGCATCAATTTGAATCACAATGATTATTTGTCGCATGATCCTTTTATTAAATAACCTTGTTTTCTTTTTTGTTTGCAGGGGGAGAAGAAGCTATGTCACGTTAAGAAATCATAAAGATCAGTTGTATTATGCGTATATACATTTATGATACCAGAACAAATGTCGATTATCAGAATGTCATTTTGGAATACCTCTATACAAATACCACATTGTCTTTAGCCCGTATCAGTATTAGTATGATCCAAAATAAAGCTATTATTCTTTATTTAATTCAGTATAATGCTTTTCCTCAAAAATAGTTTTGCTATTTTTTTAGGGTTGAGACGCTAAGAAATGCATTGCAAAATGATGGTGGTTCTCTCTCTCTCTCTTTATTTTAATCATGCATTATCAACTACATATAACGCAGCAACCAAAAACTTGGGTTATCTGAGATAGGTGAAAGTAAGAGTTAAAAAGAAAGTCATGCTAAAACGGCGCTTCACTCCCCCCCCCCCTGAAAAAAATAAAATAGAGTAGTCCTCCTCTCCAGCATCCCCCCCCCCCCCCACTTTAATATCACATTTTCACTTGGCAGCCCAAAGGGGCCGGGGTGGGAGGAGGGGGTTAAACCCCTAACTCCCCCCCCCCCCCCCCGTAGATCTGCCCATGTTACCATATCATTCCACGACATATTGGTCTTCCTCTTCTTCTTAAAAGGGACTTTTAGATTTGCGTGGACGTGCACTGGCAGTCACATTTGACGTCCTTTTAAGCACTGGCACTGCCTTGAAAGGAGGTCACACGTTGCAGTCCACGTTCTCATCGTGCAAATCTAAAAGTCCCTAATATTGATTTACTGGTCGAGGTTCATTATTTGCTGGTCATTTGAAATCACCAGATTTCAGCGGGTTAACGCTTTCACAACGAAAAACTTCTCCATGACCATGTTTCTGCCCTTGCGCGATCGCCTCCAGCTCCAGCAGACATGGCGCGGTAGCGTGCACACATACCGCTACTAACGGCGCAGTAGGCCTATAACCACTGCTGACGGCGGCACTGCACTGCGAGCTGAATCGGTAATAATAGGCCTATACTCATAAAACGAGAAATCTTGCACGCTAATCTAAGTTCCATTTCATTGGTTTAAGGTTTGAAAATTAAAACTCAATATTGTGTTAAAGTTATAACAGAAAAGATAATCTTTATTTTAAATTCCACGGGGGCGATTTTTAATTTTGCAATCGCCCCCGTGAGCAACCTGACGGGGGCGATTATGTAGCTTACGGGGGCGAATCGCCCACCGCCCCTGTGTATTTTGAGCGCTGTGTACTGATGAATATTAATAAGTCAGAATGAATCAGGAGAGTCTTGGGTATTTGTTTCTAGTTCATCATGACTGTGCCATGCACCAGTGATGGCCTGGTGGTAGAGTTGCTGCCCGGCAAGCAGTAGATGGCAGGTTCCAAGCTGTTTATGACTCGTTTTCAATAACAAAATCGAGCGTGAGATTTTCATCTACTAGGTGAGAGCCAAACATTTCTTTACAACAGCAGTGACGAATGGTGTCATAATTATAGTGATCTGTTTGTTTTTATATTTCAGCAAACTTTATTGTATTTAATGTTCATTCATCTTTACATTGTTATAATTTTCATCTAATAGGGTCTCTATTAAAGTTTATATGTATATATTGGATACGGAGATCTAAAGAAACTCTGACATGCTAACTTGTTTAATCTGTAACATATCCCAATCATGTGTGATAAACCGTAAATTACCTGTTCCATTGTAGCTCTATCTGCCTTGTCTTTGACTCTTACTCTGCAAAGTAATTCCAAACACGCAAAACAGATAAAAACATTTTTTAAACATCTGATCACACTGTTAACTCTTTCTTTTCTTTTTTGAGGGGGAGAGATAATTCTCAGAATACACAAAGCATTCTACAATGTTTTGGGTCTTAAAATACTTTCAATTCAATTTCTAAAAATTTGCATCAACATAAAATAAAGAACAGTCCAAAGAACAATCTGAAGAAAAGGTACAATTAAGTAGATTAACTAATTCTATTGCAATTCGAAGTAACTTAAACCTAAAATATATTTCCATTAGCAATCTTATAATGGATGTGATACCATAGGCTTATCATCCAGCCATTAGGAAAAATGTCAAATGTCAAATAACATGAAATCCCCTGCTTCCCATCACACAAAAATAACTCTATCAAAGACAGTAGGAATGGTTTGTAACTGGTTTGAGGTATAATATGGTATTACTTTAATTACCTGTCTGATTCCACCTTCCTTTTTGTCTTCATGAGAGAGTTGGTGGCAGAGTTGGAGAGGGATCGGGGTCCTGAGTATTTATCCACCGTTATCTTGCTGGCGTAACGGTGCATTGACTTTTCATGAGGCTGAAATATACAGACAAAAAGATGGTTATGATCAGAAAGGGAGAGAGAGAGAGAGAGAGAGAGAGAGGGAGAGCCACATCACTGCTCCTGCTACTTGTAGTGTTGAAGAAGCTGTTCATCAATACAAGTTAGAACTCGGAAGGGTTCTAGATGCTCATGCCCCTCAGAGATCACGGAAAGTGAGGAATCATGCAGACTGTCCGTGGTATACCAATGACATTCGTACTCAGAAGAGGTTACGTAGACAACTGGAGAGGAAATGGAGGGCCAATGGCCGACTTCAGACTGACAAAGAACTGTACTGTGCCCAGCGTGACCTCGTAAATTCACTTGTGAAAAAGGCGAAGCGCTCATACTTTGTAGATCTTATTGAAGACTGTCGGAATGATTCAAGAAAGCTCTTCTCAGTAGCAAACCGACTTCTGAATCGTCGACAGTTACCACCACTTCCAGCCCACACGGATAGCCAGCAAATGGCCTCTACATTCATCCACTTCTTCCAGACGAAAGTCAAGACCATCTGCGACAGTTTATCACCTGACAAAACACCACACCATCCCCTTACTTCCTCTTCCTTTGAAGTAATACAACCTACTACCCCCAATGAGATTATGTCACTCTTACGTAAACTACCCCCCAAATCATGTCAGTTAGACCCTGTTCCCACTAAATTATTAATGGACTGTTCCTCCACATTCGCTCCCATCCTTTCTTACTTGATTAACTTGAGTTTAGAGCAGGCACATGTTCCTTCCTCATTGAAAATAGCTCATGTTACTCCGTTGTTGAAGAAACCTTCTCTGGACCGAAATTCCCTCCAAAATTATCGACCAGTTTCAAACCTACCGTTTTTGTTCAAAATTCTTGAAAGGGTTGTGTTTTCTCGTCTTTCGGATTATTTTCTGGACAATGATTTGTTCGACCCTTTCCAGTCAGGTTACAGAACCCATCATAGTGTGGAAACACTGCTTGTGAATGTGTCCAACTATATCCTGCAAGGGATGGATAGGGGTAACTCAACTGCTATCCTGCTGCTAGACTTGTCCTCCGCCTTCGACACCGTTAATCACACTATCCTTTTGAACACATTTAGTTCACTTGGTGTCAAGGGTGAGGCATACAAATGGTTCGAGTCTTATCTGTCATACCACTCTCAGATCGTTTGTATTAATGGTTGCAAATCAGTTGCTTTGCCTCTCTCTTGTGGAGTACCACAAGGTTCTGTGGGCGGGCCCACTCTTTTCTCAATTTATTTAATTGGATTGCGACAAGTTTTGTTACAACATGGCATAGATTATCATATTTATGCAGACGATATTCAACTTATGATTTCCTTCAATTCAGATCAAGCTGCTGCAGAACGAGCCGTTCATCGCCTTGAATCTTGCATGGCTGATGTTCTTGATTGGTTGCTCGCACATTCCTTGAAATTAAATTTAGACAAATGTGAATTCCTTATATTTGGTTCCAAAGTACAGCTTAGTAAAGTTAATATCAATTGCATTTCATTTTCTGGCCACATAATTCACTTGTCACAAACGTGTCGCAATCTTGGTGTTATGTTTGACTCACATATGACAATGTCTAACCAAGTTCTTAATATTTGTAGATCTGTAAGGTACCACTTGCGTAATATCGGTTTTATTCGTAAATATTTGTCCAAGTCTGCCACCGAAAAATTAGTTCATGCTCTGATTTCCTCCCGTCTTGATTTTGCCAATGCCCTCCTAATCAATCTACCCCAGAATCTAGTGTCCAAGCTTCAGAAGCTTCAAAACGCTGCAGCTCGTATTGTTTCTCTGACCACCAAGCGTACCCACATTTCCCCAGTTTTGCAGTCGCTACACTGGCTCCCAGTAAAAGATCGCATTGTTTTCAAAATTTTGTTGCTCACCTTTCATTGCGTTCACGGCTCTGCTCCTCAATACCTTATCTCTCTAATCCAAAACTACACTCCTGCAAGACCTCTACGCTCATCCACTTCCAATTTTCTTGTAACCCCCAAAATTACCAAAACGTGGGGGGAAAGATCTTTTGCATACTCTAGTCCTAAATTATGGAATGGCCTTCCTGAAGACATCAAAAAATGTTTATCCTCTGATTCTTTCAAAACTCATCTCAAAACATTTCTTTTCAAGTCTTGATCTTTTTTCCTGTTTACACACGCCTTGAGCACTCCACAGAGTGGATTTGGCGCGATATAAGTTACATTATTATTATTACATTATTATTATTATTATTATACAGACAGACAGAAAGAGGGAGAGAGACAGAGAGAGAGAAAAAAAGAGAGAGAAGATAGAGCAATAGAGACAGAGAATTAGAGAAAGAAAGATAGACACACATAGTAAAATAGAGACCATCCAATTAACTAACCTGAAATGAAGAGACTTCTTTTGGATTGGCCGGGTTCATTCCTCGTTTAGGCTGTATAACAAGGGATTGGATACATAGAAAAGTAAATTAATATCTCTCAAGTAAGTATCCTTTCAGGGTGTAGGGGAAGAAAAAATGTTATTATACAAATAATGCACGGGTGCGAGTGTGTAATAGCGGAGGGCCAGTGCACAAAGTTTAGTCAGTGCCCATAGTGATAATGCAGGCGCCCGCAGGGCAAGTGCATTATCAATATCGCACCAACTAAACTGAGTGCACTGGAACTGCCCTAACACTCGAGCGAAACAGTGCATTATTTGTTTCATGAGACGGATCAGCAATACATTCTTACAATATAGTCTAGATCTAGAGTAAAGATAGATATTAGATCTAGATCCAAGTTAGATCTAACTAGATCTACGCCTAGATTATTCTAGATATTGACAATTATGCACAAATTAAATTTGGGTGAATTACGCGAAAGAGATATCGGCTGGTATCGAGTGTGTGTTATCAATTTTTGATGAGAGCTTTTTGCACGGTATGAAAAACTAATGCACGCCCACGTGATGTCAATTGACCAATCGGATTGCTTAGATTCTAGAACCCATCTTATAATACTGTATAACACATTGCTAAAAATAATGTATGACTCAGGACATGTGAAGTGAAATCTCACTGTAATCGCTAGAGATATATGCATGTTGTTTGATAAATACACTTCAGGAAACAAACAAAGACAATTAACAAATTTCTCTTTTTGAAAGGAAAGTCCACCCCTAAAAGTAAGTTGGAGAAAAAAGTGTTTAATTTTCTTTACGTACCTGAAATCAATCATAAATTGGCAACTCTGTGATTAGTAAATAGTTACTCTCCATTTTTATTTAAAATACTGTCCAACTTTCATGAATAAGAACAGGTTTCCTATTATACACATGGGCATATGAATTTTCTGTAGCTCTATAAATTCATTAAATTTTCGGGAAAAATAAATAAAACATTTTAAGTTACAATACCATCAGTCTTCATTTTACCTGGGGGTTGCAAGCCCTCACTGTATTGAACTTCTTTGTGAAATCTGAAAGAGAAAAATAAAAGAATGTAAATATTATTCAAATTAAAATTCAAAGTTTATTCAACACTCTTCATGAAAACATTAAAAACAAACGGATAACAGAATATGTATTAATGAACTAATATTGTCTCTTTGAATGAAGAAATAAGTGCACAAAAGACAATAATAATAACAATAATAATAATAATCTTGTTTACCGAGGGTAGCCTCATCAGTATTCATACTGTATTCTCCCCGAGGGCCCTACAATATATTATTACCCCGGTCACCGGATTCAGGCTTACCCGCACACAATGTATGCACATTCTCCACTCCCTGGGGATCACTCCAGCCAGGCGTCATTTTTACAAGCGCACACTTGCTAATCTAAGCCCATTAGCTTTCGCATCCTACCGGGTACCCATTTAACACCTGGGTGGAGAGTGACAAAATGTAGATCAATGTCTTGCCAAAGGACATTAGTGCCGCGTTAGGACTTGAACCCCGGACCTTGTGATCCACAGTCCATTGACATATCCACTCGTCCATGACACCTCTACAATGACAGAGCTTTGATAAAAAGAGAAAAATAAATGTGAACTCTACTGCAGGCTGTAATATGTCAACTACTGGACTAACCTGTGCTTTCCTCTTCCCAGTCATAGTAGTCATCATCCTCCTCCCCATCGTCGTCTTCATCCCACTCAGCCTCCTCCAGAGATGCCTCAAGAACTAGAAGTTCATTAAAAAAAAAAATTAGAAGAGAAGGATGAAATTGGGAATGTTAAAGAATGATTTTACATAAGGACGATCCACAGTAATGTTCGTGCCCCCTCAGCTAAACAGGGCCAGCAGTGGGGTGTTTCAAAAGACTAAGGTTGACTTTAAGTTGGACTTAACTATGGCAGGCTCCCACTGTTTACTGGCATTGGTCTCTCAAAGGACGTACCAGTCATGGTCACAAATCTACAGAATTTGAATTTTTGATAATTCATTATTGAAGGGGAAAAATATTATCTAAAGATCATAATGGTGAGAGCAAACAGTGGCATGAATGGCCTGCCATATTTAAATCTAACTTAAAGTTGATCTCAGTCTTTTTTAAACACCCCCTGGTTGTGCATTCGCCAAAAGTTCATAACTTTATCTGATTTAATTCAAACTCTCACCAAGAACATAATCGAAATGTTGAGAACTAAGATTTCTTTAAATAGTGGAGATCACCAAACACTTTACCTATAGTTTTATTTTTCCGATATCACTGATATTTATCTCATCAATCTGCTTCTAAAACTTTCTGCCTTCCTCGAGGGCAACTAGCTCTTCATATCGGATTTCCCTTTAACCTCTTGCATACCAAACTGATTTTGGTATTACAACAATATCAAATAATATACTTCTTCCCAAGTTATTTGGGGCTTGGCATTCTACAGGTTAAGCAGTAGAGACACACAGGCAATATGGAAGACCATTTCCTATTTAAGAGACTCTCTTAAGTCACAAACATTGGAGACTTTTGTCTAAGATATTTGGTAGCCTATTTGGGAAAGAGTCTCCTAATTGGGATATCATTTTCTTTGATTTACATTTGTTTTAAAGGAATTACCTCAGCTCAAATCAAAAGCAGGGCTTAAATTAACCCAAGGCCACCAAGGCCATGGCCGTGGATGCCCCTTTGATTGGCCTCAATGCCCCTCTCATTGGCCTTGGAGATTTTTTGTGCCCTTTCCAATTCTTCCTATTTGGAATGTAATATAGGAATGTGCCCTACAGAAAAGCGGCCTCTCCCTAAAAATATTGAAATTTAAGGCCTGCAAATGTATGATGAGCATATTCCTCAGGAAAAATTACCCCTGTTGATCGTCTACAAAATTTCAGTCTGATTTTGTTTTCATAACTGTGTTTGTTATGATTGATCCACACACAAAACAAATGGGTTCCTCATTGACAAATCTGCTGATAACCAATAAGAAGCGAGGATTTTAGTAGTTACAGTATAACTGTCATTTGTCACTGATGACACGTTTTCTGAAACGCCCCCCAGATTTCAACGAGGCAGAACTTTGGCTGGGAAAAAAGACCTTTTAGTAGATGTTGTTTCTTTTGTTCTTTTGTAAGCTAAATCTCCAATATGGGATACAGTCTCTCGAATGGGAGAGAGTTCTCCCATTCTGTTAAAGTTGAATTTACATGTAATTTAAGAAAAAAGGGGGGAAAGGGGAAAAAAGCAGACCTTTTTGAGTTAAATTTCCTTCCTCAATCTGAGCTGTAGATATGGACACAGGATTCCTTGGTGGTTGTACCCTGAGAACAAAATAAACAAAACAGAAAACAGAATAACAAACAACCAGAACTTACACCAGGGGGGGGGGGGTGTTTCATGAAGATTATAAGTCAAACTTAACTCTAAGTTGGACTTAAGTATTATGGAGAGCCATTTGTAGCCTTATAATGAAGTATATTCAAAAGCAAAAATTCAAGTATTTTAGACTTTTAATAAATTCTACATCAAGAATGTGAAATCTCCCATAATAGAAAATATGAATGATTTGAATCAACATGTTATGCCTTTTAAAATAACTTTTACAAATTATTTTCAAGGATGCTAATGGCCAACTTAGAAAAAGTTCAACTTAGGATCTTTGTGAAACACCACCCAGAGTTGGTAAAAAGCACTCATGTCTCATGGAACCATCAAATTATAATAATGATAACAATATCAGATATCTATATAGCACACATATCCACCAACTAAGGTGCTCAAGGTCCTCCAATATAACCCATTTTACACCTGGGTGGAGAGTGGCAAATGTAGATTAATGTCTTGCCAAAGGACATTAGTGCCGTGGCGGGACTCAAACCTAATTCTAACAGGAACAGCGGGAGTATGAGCTTTTAAATAAGAGGTGTCATGGGGCGCGTTTCACAAAGACAATTAAAGATCGACATTGAGTTGAAACGCAAGTAAAAAAGGCTGACTCCACGTAAATTGCATTTCTGGCCATCTTCAATAGGCTTGAGTCGGTACGGTCGGTCACACCGGGACCCGACCGTTGCCGTCGGGTCCCGGTTTCGTTTTTTGAGAACCGACGCTCCGAAAAAAATAACGAAATATGTAAGAAATTGCAGTTTTGCACACCACTAAAATCAATCCACCTTAAAACTTAAGTATTTAATGGTTAACAATCATATTCTAGCTCATCATGAATCAATCCGAACTGCTGATATAAATATGGGTTGCAATTAGGCAGTTCGCCCCATGGGGTTGTTGTTGCCAGCTGCTATCTAGCTACTGTACTGGACGGGTCTCTCGGCAGGAATCAGGTTGAAAGAAACATTAATGTTTGAATAATAAAACGGCTTTCTAAAAAGTACTTCTTTACAACATACCGATCGAATAATTTTTAAAAGACAAAATATATATTATTTCTTTGATTTTGAACACTGCATGCTTCTTTTAAAAGCTGAAAATTACTTGGTAATCACAAGAAGTTTCGATACGGATAGCTGTTGCAAGGCAAGTTCAGACTAGTCTCGGAAAAATGCGCACTGTGCTCCTCGTTAGCTGTAATGCGTGCCAGAACGAACCCAAAAAAAGACGTGATCGTAACGAGAAAAAAATCATTATAAACTACGAGAGCACAATTGGATTGACAACTACTTAAAATTATCGTAAGCAGATATATAACTTGGAGGAAGAAAACAATAGTTGTCCAAGAAAAGCCACATAAATAGTGATATTTAAGGAGTTACTATAGGTACAATCATTATCGGAAGGGCCTGCTGCAATATCCGAATTACATGTGTTTAAATTGAACACGAGGCTATACGAGGCAAATACCGCCCTCTACGGTAAAAAGCAGTATAACAAAGGATTCAAGTATTTGCAGCAGGCTCCTTGCGATAAAAATGTACCCAGTTACTCCTCGATTATCACAATTTCTGTGGCATTTCTTGGGCGATTAATGAATTCTTTGTCCAAGTTATCTATCTGATTATGGTAATCTTGAGCAGTACAGTGTAGTTGTCTTTCCAATCGTGCTCTCATAGTTTTTAATGATTTTTTTCTCGTTACGATCACGTCTTTGTTTGGGTTTGTTCTGGCACGCATTACAGCTAATTACGAGGAGCACTGCGCATTTTTCTGAGACTAGTCTCAACTTGCCTTGCAACGCTATCCGTATCGAAACTTCTTGTGATTACCAAGTAATTTTCAGCTTTTAAAAGAAGCATGCAGTGTTCAAAATCAAAGAAAAAATATATATTTTGTCTTTAAAATATTATATGATCGGTTTATTGTACAGAAGAAATTTTTAGAAAGCCGTTTTATTATTCTAAAATTAATATTTTTTTACCAGAATTATTCAACCTGCATAAATCGAAACGGCGGCTTGAATGTTGTCTTTACATTTCTGCCCCAGTTTTTTACTTTTAGAGGCACGAAAATGGCATAAAACATCGCCAATCATGGATGAAAATAATGTCAAATGGAAGAATATACCGCTCTGAGCCGAGGTATGCATGTGCTTATTAATTTGATTGATAAAAAAGGTCACTTTTAAGGGACATACTGATGATATGCGCTTTTTATAGAGGCAAGTGACAAATCCTGCGAGCTGATTTCGGGACACCGGGTCCCGATCGGTACAAGGCCGTCGGGACCCGGTTTATGAAAATCCCGACATGACTCAGGCCTAATTCAACATCGCAAATGATCAGCACAGGTGAACATCTCTGTCAGGTAAATCGCACGTCAGTTAATTATCAGGAAAACTAACCCAGCTAGAGACAGCTTTCTTCCAGAAGCTTTAGTATTCAAGGTATTCAGAACAAGGATGGTAAGCACTAAGCAGGTAAAGCAAAGCTGACGCTCAGATAACAAATTTCCACATTTCTAGATTCTGGTCGACTTCTGTCTGAATCAGGCCAAAATGTATATCGACCACTAGGAGTAGGAGCACACAATGCGTTAGGAATATAAATGGGGGGGGGGGGAGGGGAATAGGATTATGGGAACTTAAATTGATTCAGTCTGTTCGCGACTTAATTTTTTTATGGCCAATTTTCTATTGAGAGGCCTCAGAGATTCGCGCGTTCACCCCCACGAGCATCACTCCAGCAAAGCATAGAGAGTCGATGTTAATGTGATGGTATTTAACTCTAGTACTGCACTAGACCTAGACCAAATTTTCCGTCTGTTTCGTTCGTTAAGCCTCTTATTTGGGTAGGTTCGGCTCTCTCTTTAGAGACGGAAGCCGACTATACACATTCACTTTCAAACACCAAGGCCATTTATGGCCATATTTTTATGCCCCCAAACCTCGTGCACAGATCTATCCAATTTATTTAATTTTGTAAATTAGGCCTACATGTAGGCTATAATACATCGGTTCCACTTACCAATTTGACTGAAATAATCCACTTAATGTTCCCTTTTTAGGAATTTATGGGTCAAAATAGACATCCTTGTTGAAAATCTTGCAAGCCGTCATCTACATCACATGTATGTGTGTGTGTGTGTATTTGGGTTTTTACAGACGTGTATCAATCAGATATGATTATTTACGTCTGGGGACCGACTTTTAACGTCACCATCCGAAAGACGTGACTCAGTTTCGAACCTGCGTTCTCGGCTGAATCAGTTTGTAACTTCCACTGTTAGCTGGATTACAGGCGCACGCCACAACGCCTAGTTGTGGCCTAAATCTCATCACTTAGTCTACGCCGAAGGCAAAATGATTATGAAGGAAAAACTGTGCACGAGCTACATACACGTTTGTAATGGCGTTATTAGAGAAAGAGAGGAGCCGACTCTTCCAGAAAGAGAGGAGCTGACCCTACCCAAATCAGAGGCTAATGAACGAAAGAGACCGAAAATTCGGGCTAGATTCTAGATCTAGATTTCTAGACCCAAGTTTTAAAAATTGTATTTTAACTACTGATTTTTAGTCTAGGTGTCATTAATTGTCACTAGAGTGCCGATTTCTAGTGAAATCAGTTACGTTTTGTACAGTGGTGTTTGAAATGCTGAGAATCAATAGGACAGCTTTTAATACACAGCCAGGCCAGGATAGTAATGCAACTGTGTGACGAGCATCACGAGCGCCGTCACCAAGAGTTGCCAAGAAATGCACACAATAATTAAAAATACAACAAAATAATAAACGAGTGGGACTGAATGTCTTTTTTCCGCTATATATTTTTTACTCACATTTTTACGACTAATCCCATCTCATCTGCGTCTTCAAATTGACCGTCAGCCATACTAGAAAGTCTGGCCGAAATCCTTTCTCCAAGTTCACACCAATACGTCAAAATAAACTTCAGTAATGATTGATAAGGTATGATTTCATTCCGGTTGATATGCGTGTAGCTAGCCGATACGTGTGTATTGCAAAATTGGATGCAACACATGGACATTGTCTTGGCTAGCGCTAGTCTTTAAATTCAGACTTATTATAAACTGTGTCCGACTCACTGGATCACTTGACAAGCCTAAAATTAGAGATTGACATTGAGAGAGAGAGAGAGAGAGAGAGAGAGAGAGAGAGAGAGAGAGAGAGAGAGAGAGAGAGAGAGAGAGAGAGAGAGAGAGAGAGAGAGGGAGAGAGAGACATTGAGAGAGAGAGAGAGAGAGAGGGAGAGAGAAGGAGAGAGAGAGAGAGACATTGAGAGAGACACACACATTGAGAGAGAGAGAGAGAGAGAGAGAGAGAGAGAGAGGGGGCCATTGGGGGGGGGGGGGTATAGTTCTTTGTGTTACCCTATTCCCCTCCCCCTTCCCATCTTTTTTTATTTCTAGGACCTTTTAATGGTTGGGTCAGCCCGTCGGAAGGAATATTAAAGTAGTACAGTGTCAGTGGGGGTCGGGTTCGAAGCGGCGAAGCCCCCTTGAAGCTCTTGCAATTTGAAAAATGAAATGACAACTTCCATGGTAAGTTCAAACAAGTGGAAATTCAGTGGCTTAATGAGCAAAAACGTTTGGGGGAGCAGGAGAACAAAAAATCTGCATCACCACTACTCTTACATGTTACAAATTCAAATTCAAATTCAAATTTTATTGATTTCAATTCAAACAGATAGGATCATTCTCAATTTGTGTACATTGGATAATAAATTTCAAAGTTAGGCCTAAAACAAAAATGTTGTATTGCCCTTTAGGTGCCAAAACATGGGTCGGTCGGTCGGTCGGTCGGAAATCTTTCTCTTTTATTTACTCCCCCTTTGGGCTGATATTTCTCAATTTTGAATGCTAGTACATTTTTTTTTAAAGACGACCGTAGATGTCAAGATTTTTGGGTCGCAAAGGGCAATACAACATCTTTTTTGTTTAGGCCTTATAGTGTAACATAGATAATCGAGTAAAGATAACAATAACCAGGAGTGACACAAATTAACATACTGCTGCATGTCTCACCTGAAATATAATACAGGGATGAGAATAAATTATATTACTTTGTATAATACTTTATACCGTTTTTTCCCCTTTTCTTTTCAAATAAAAAGAAGAAAATAAAATGTAAATATATATTCAATTGATAGTAAGACAATGTACATATATATGTTTTATGATTACCAAATTTAGATGATCCCCACAGCTCGACCCTATTTCTATTCCAAACTCGTGGGAGACAGTGAGCATGGGAATAAGGCGCGTACGCAGGGGGAGGGGGGGGGGTTGGGGTTAACCCAAGGTAACCCCCACCCCCCCCCCCCCCACTTATTCAGCGGCTGGCTGAGTCGTTGCGAAATTTTCGGCCCGATTTAAAAATGTTAACCCCCTCCTTGGAAAAATCCTGCGTACGCTACTAATGGGAATAAATAATGCCTTTTACATTACTAAATTACATCGAGATTAATAATAATGGTACAAAATAAGTGGAAGGTATCGGGTTCGATCCCCAGCTAGTGTATTTTTTTTAAGCCAAAAAAGATTTTAAAAGTTAATCATTTTTCCAATTTTGGTGTGATAAAATAATCATTGTTGGTGTTTTTGATGTATGGGAAAGGGTTCTAAAGCACAATATGTCAATGGATTCCTCAAAAGAAGAAAAAAAAGAGCCTAATGTGAGGGGGGAGCAGCTGAGTTTAGGAAAAAAGCCCCTTTCGGGGTCTTTTTTTTTTGGGGGGGGGGGGTCAGGGTCGTCAGCTTGCTGGCGGTCGTCATCGTAGCGTAGCCGGCGGCCGGTAGCGTTAGCCCCAAAGCCATGCCCAATTTTTAAACTACATTCAAGAGTCCCTTATTGCCAGGTTAAAACAGTTTTTTTTACATTTTCAGTACTACCTTCTTCCTTTTATTCACTCTGTACACTCCCATGCTATCCTTTCCCAGTCTGTAAACAACTTTACAACATGAATTCAATGATGGGCAGGGTTTTACTTCTCATATGGAAGCGCCCAAACTTCGCGAGGTGAAACAAAGGGTCTTTCAAATTCAAGTCTATTCAAGCCCAATATGGGCTAACCAGGGGCGGCGATCCCGGGGGGGGGGGGGGGGGGGGGGGACGGGGGGACGCCCCCCTCGATTTTTTTTTCGTCCCCCCCCCCCCCCGGAAAATTTGAAAAAGTGCAAAAAAATAATGTACAGCAAATACTGACTAAAGACTGCAACACACGATTAGGTTTTGCAGGGCCCAAGAGTGCAGCGTTTAGACAAATAAAAATGCAAAAATCTCCTGGCTCTGGAGCTATGCTCCCTCGCATAACATCCTTCAAAATGTACAAGTTAATATTGTAGAAAAGTGAAGTGTGAAAAAGTACATTGTTTGTTTCATACTGTATTTTTGCTTAGGAATATAATTTTGTAATACAACAAAACTTCAAAACCTGTGAGGGGTATTCACTTTCGTCACCTTAACCCCTTCATTCACTATGCTCACTCAATCGGGCTTGGGGCAGTCTCCCCCCCCCCCCCTCTCCCGATAAAATTCAAACGTGGTTTATTTCTAATTCGATACCAGTGACTAATTTACAAATGTTGCTGAAATGGTTTGGTTTTCCCTGAGCTTCCCCTGTACCCCACCAAGGGCCCCAAGGTGGGCCCCTGGTTGCTCAGCTGACCATAAATAAATGCCTAAAACACCTGAGCTTCGGGAGGCTCCGCCCCTGGACCCCACCATGGATGCTCACCTGATCGTAATTGAATGCCTAAAACCGCTGAGCTTCTGAGGGCTTCGCCCCCTGGACCCCACTCCGATTAGTGACCTGCATGCAAGTGTCACAAATAAGGTATCAAAATAATATGCTCATCTGACCCTTATCAAATGCCTATAAACTCTGAGCTTCATGGGGTTTTTTAGTTATATTTTTTCATTGACAGTATACTATTAAATATCAGGAATGTTGGATGCTCTGTTTCAAATACAGTTCAGATTGCCGGGCAATGAATTATCTCTTGCTTCTTGTCCAAAAACCATATCCAACTGGTTTTTATTTCGATACCATTACGTCATCTTTACATCACAAATGGGTTTTCAGTAATAGAGCTAAAACTGATTTTATTTTCATTAAATTCGGTTGTACATTCATATTTGACAATCAAGATTCAAGTTCTTGATTATTAGTAATGCTTGTTTAACTTTCCACCATTTGTTATTTCTTTTATTTGTCTTGTTTAGTGAATTTGTAGTCATTAAAAGTCCAATTATAATAGCTTGAAATTTGCGTGGCAAGCTAGCGCTCCCCCCATCTCAGAATATGCTCCCCTCCCCATCCAGGGAAATTGAAGGGGAAATCCCTTTTTTGTAATCCTTATATGTCAATATGTAGATAATTATGTAAATATATTATGTTTGATTGTTCTCTAGGACCGTTGATGTTCTTCTTTCATCCATTGTATTTGTTTTATGTAACAATGGAGGAATCGAGGTTTAAATAGTTCAAATTAAACAAGCTTATCAACATAATTGTCTGTGCTAAGATTGTACATTCAAGAAATGGGTTTTCAGTAAGATAGAGCTAAAAATGAGTGAAGAAAATCAAGCAATAATATTTTCTTTATTTTCATGAAAATGCGGTTGTAGTTGTACATAATTAATTGTGTGTATTGGACAATCATAATCTAAGTTCTTGATTATTATTGATGCCTGTTTAATAACTTTCTACCATTTGTTATTTCTTTTATTTGTCTTGTTTAGTGAATTTGTAGTCATTAAGAGTCCAATTATAATAGCTTGAAATTTGAGATCCTGTAACAAACTTCGTTGCTTTCCCAGAGTTTCTATATTGTTGGCCTTCTATATATTATGTGTTCCTTTTTTTTCTAATGTAACTATACTAATGAGCTAAAGAGTAACGTGAAAATGAAGCTTTAATTTAACACTTGAATTTGACAAAAAGAATCCCTGTGTGATTTCTGCACATCTTTAAAACATTCTGTGTGTCAGGTTCCCCTTCTTCAAAACCAATTTTTACTTTTAAAAAACCCAATTGTTTTCAAATAAGATTCCTTGGTAATAATTATGTAGAGGTCGCTCTCTTTCTCTCTCTCTCTCTCTCTCTCTCTCTCTCTCTCTCTCTCTCTCTCTCTCTCTCTCATGATTGCTCATCACATCCTCTGGGTACAATATTGTTCCATGATTAGGTGCACTGGAACTGCAACCCTGGACCCTTTCACATCCAACTAATCCTCGCAACCCAATCATAAACCCTGAAGAAATAAAGAAGATAATCTTTAGAGAAATAAGGCTTTTCACAAAAGTTGCCTGAGCAAATGTCCCAGGGTCACCTCTCTCTCTCTCTCTCTTGCTCTCTCTCACCCGTTTTTTTCCTGTCTCTCTCTTTCTCTCCGTCTCCCTCGATCTCTCTCTTTCTTAGACATAAACACCACATAATATTGCCCACACTTTCTCTCTCTCTCTCTCTTCTTCTCCACCCTCTTCCCCTGCGGTTATCCTTGCCCGCCCCCCCCCCCCCCCGTAGCCTCTTGTCGATGGCCCTCGCTTTGTTGGAGTCCGTAAATTCTGGCGAGCGAAGCGAGTCAGAACCGCGCTCGGTTTCTCTGACTCGCTTCGCTCGCCAGAATTTACGGACTCCAACAACGCGAGGGCCATCGACAAGAGGCTACCCCCCCCCACTTTAGCTTGTTTTCACCACTCTGTCTCTCTTCCCTATCTTCTTACTTACCCCCCCCCCCCATCACCATGGTTTAGCTCCCTCTTCTATCATTCTGTCCTTCTCTTTCTCCCTCGATCTCTCTCCTTTTTACACATAAACACCACAAAATCTTACCCACACTTTCTCTCTCTCTCTCTCTCTATTCTTCTCCACCCTCCTCCCCCACTTTAGCTTGTTTTCACCACTCTTTCTCTCTTCTCATTTCTTACTTCTTACATCTTCTTACCCATCTCCATTACCTGAAGGTTTAGCTCTCCCTTCCATCTTTCTGTCCTTCTCTCTCTCTCCCTCTATATGTCTTGCTCTGTCTCACTCTTTTCCCCGTCTCTCTCTCGTTCTCTCTCTCTCTCTCTTTCTTCCACACAATCTTGCTCACACACACACACACTCTCTCTCTCTCTCTCTCTCTCTCTCTCTCTCTCTCTCTCTCTCTCTCAGTCTTAGCTTGTGTAATGTATCCCTATTAGGTAGATACTCAATAATCAAAGAATTAGATAAAGAAAACTTTTCGTTGAAATAAACACTATATTTTTCACGTTGCAAATAGCACAATACTGAAATAGCAAACTAATAGAAATATAATTTAAAGATACTTGGTATCAACCAAAAAAACTCATATGCATAGTTGGTATTTTCTCAAAGCATACATGTAGTTTGAAATAAATATAAAATCAAAAACTTGAGGAGTTCTACTAAAAAATAAAAACATGTTAAAATCAAATACAACATATAATTTGAAACTTCTGTATAGCTGTAAGTATGTAGTCTCAGGACTGCATGGTTTTGACTTTTGACAAGCAGGGTTAAGATGCCTCTACTCTCCTCCAAAGATGGTGGATGAGCTCATCATCATTTCAATCGCTGGATGCCCCATTTTGCAATTTTTAAAAAATCAGACAAAATATGTGCCCAACCAAGCATGAAATTTCAACGCTTGAAAATTGGTGTAATATTAAATTTTCCTTAATTTGATATATTTCATTCAATTTCATTGATGGGTAATATGAACATTTTGAACAACAATGAGTGTCCACTTTCTTCTTTTTGCTGAGTGCAATTTGCTATATCTCATGTAGAATGTGAATGTATAAATAATTTGAAACACAATATTTAGCAGCATCATATTGTATTTCAGTGCACTGCTTATTAAAACTACCTTTTTTGGCTATATCGTATATAGAATAGCTTAAATAATGGAAGATAAGTACTTTACAGCATCAGATTCTAGTTTACAAAAGAGTACTGAACATTACATGCAGCCAATGAAAGAAAGGAACTACAGCTAGTGAAAAACCTGTCTATAAAGGTCACCCAAGGGAAACACTAACCACTGATAGACAGGTGGCCTTTTTAGACAGGTTCTACAACACATGTTTCTTCTTAGAGAAAGACAATGGAGGTGACCACTATTATAGACAGGTGGCCTTTATACAGAGGTGGCCGTTATGACAGGTTTAACTATATCTTCATGTATAACAAAAGTCACAAGAGGGCAGCATCACATAAACAGCTTTTAAATGTTGACCTTGTAAAGAAGTGCATAATAATCTCATAAAGGCAATACAGCTTAATTTTACAACAAAAATCGCCAACAAGAAACTGCAAGAAATACTTATCACTCCATTAATTATTTCTTAAAATACTGAGATATGTATTTTCAATATGTCCATGTATATACTGGAGGGAATTTAACAGGCAGGTACAGTCAACAATTCTTTTAGCCCTTTTAGAGGTAGCCTACTATGTCCAATTAGCAGACCAACACAATTAAATTGCTGAATTTCAAAGGCATTTGACAAATACAAATTTAGAACTTCCCTCAAAACAGAAGGGCTTGATAATCTCTTTTTGTAAAAAAATAACGACAGTTAGTTGTCAATTCGAATTTAGCGAGTGCGCTTGTTTATTTAAATAGTTTGATTTTCAGACCCTTGTACCGAATGGTTGTACATTTTGTGCTACGCAGAGATTCAATCAGCTTGATTTCGGCAATTACAGCCAGTCACTCAATATTATAGTGTCTGACAGTGAAGTCTAGAAACTAGAAAGTAAACGGTTTCCTTGCATAATTTGAGTATTAGAACACTTCTAACGTTTAAATTTCACAATAAGGACATACTTGACATATTCCTAATTCATGCAAACTTCTACAGAATATGATGTTGGCTGCCAAAGGGATACACTACCGTTAATCCCTGTTTACCAAAATATGCTGGTACACAATACACGCTGTATATAGATATATTTCAAAATCAGTTTCATATCATAATTGCAGTCAATTAACAATGTTTCAGATGTGATATGATAGTGTTTTCCACGTCAAAGGACTGCATACTAAATTTCATACATGATTGAGAGAGAAATATTGACTTCTTTAGTCCAAGCTCTATTATTTACATTACTATAATAATAATAATAATAATAATAATAAAAATACTGGATATTTATATAGCGCACATATCCACCCTGCAAGGTGCTCAAAGCGCTCCAATACTGAAGTGCTCCTATAAACTGAAGTGATTGGTAATAGTACATGTACACATTAAATTTAAAGAGATTAATTGCTGTTTAGTCAAACAAGTTTTATACAAATTGATTACTTCATTACATTCAATTTGTACACTAACCTATTAACTTATGAATAAATGTCTACTTATTGGTGTATACATTCCACAGTTAAGGAGTCCTTCATTTTTTCAATTTTTTTTCTCCCCTTTTTGTGTGCTTCCACTATGGATACTTGTGTTTTCTTTGATAAAATCATTCAATGTTATAGTTGGCAACATTAAACAAAAACAATTAATCCTTTGTAATATTTGTGACATCCTTTATAAAATTTCTATCTTATATATAATTCTTATAATATCAAAGTATATCAAAGATAACTTGAACCGAGACACCAACACTCAAAACTCATTATGATTGTCTTCTGGGGACCTCATTGGTATAATTTCTTCTTCTTCTTCTCCTCCTCTTCCTTCTCTTTTTCCTCCTCCTTAATCCCACTCCTCCTTTCTCCCTAATTTAATTATATCCCTCTTTCAAACAAATATTAAGATATTTTTCTATAACAAACAAATATATGATTTGTCTATAACAAACAAATATATGATTTTCCTCCTTGGCACAAATATTATGTCCATGTCGTTGTATTTCTTCTAATTACAGTTGGCATTACAAGTCACAAAAATCATCCAATCCTACAAATTATTTACACAAAAGCAACAGGTTCATTGACATGTTTGTAATATTTATGAATACCAAAACATAACTGTTGGTTTTTTTAATTAAAACTTTACCTTTTCAGGATGAAAATTGCAGCTGATTTAAATTTGAATATAATACATAGTATAAATATTGTTACTGAATTTTACACATAATCATGTTACAATGAATTTTTATTTGACTGAATAAGTTAAATTATTTTATTGGACATAATACTAAATGCAAGATAGAATACTTTCTTTGTGGGCCAATACAATTTGGCAATTTTTAGCTTGATTTACACTGATTTTACTCCAAATTTCCTGACTTTTCCTGGACTGAAAAACAACTACTCAGTTGCCAGGTTTTCCCCAATTTCCACGAGAGCTGGAATCCCTGCATAATTATGCAAGGACTCAGATAAAGGGAGCTGGCTGTCTGAAACGGTTACAATATCAGATCAACAATTATGATACCACTGATAGCAATCTGATGCTAAAATATGTACGACAGCGCCATTTCATGAATTATTTATTATACATATGTGTAGTATACCTCGATGACTCCCTGTATTTCTCTCTCTCTCTCTTTCTCTTGCTCTCCTTTTCTCTCTATGCTACACCTTCGACTCTTGCTTAATAATTGTCTCTACCAACTTTTCCTGATCTCTCTCTACACAATCTCTCTCTCTCTCTCTCCCTCGCATATTTTTATCCCCCCCCCCCAGACTCTCTCTCTTTCTCTTTTCTCTGTGTGTCTGTCTCTCTTGCTTATTTCTGCACCCAATTATAAATGTCTCCTTACGCCAAAGATATGTCAATAATCAACCACTCCATCTATTGCGTGGTAACAAAGTACAGTGCACCTCCACAGCTAATAGCCAAGAATGTTTGTATCCAACTCCTCTCCTCACATGAATTAATTACCCATTACCATGGCGATGTCTGTTGTACTTGTAAACTTTGACATTGAGGATTCCTCCCTGGTCACGTGTGTACTGATACTGTAGACTTGCTGAATACCTGTCAAGAAAAATGCCCCAAGATAGGGAAAAAAATCAGTTATAAATTATAATAAAATTATTTTCTTTTGAATCCCAAAGCCAATTCACAATATTTTACTAATTAATAAAAGTATTATTTTCTCTTTAATGAAATAAACATACTATTCTACATTTTACATTTCAGGACAGAAGTAATAAGTAATACAGAAAAAAGTACATATAGTATCAAACAGCACTTATCTGTACGAAGTAATTACAAACAATCAAATATTTAAATAAGTTTTTAATGAAATAAAATAATACAAGTTAGATAAATAAGATGTTGGAATTAACTCAATTGAGGGGGTTAGGGGTTAGGGGTTAGATGAAGAATTTCCAGTCATTTCTAATTTTTACTCCCACCCTTATATATTTCATGGAAGGGGGGGGGGGGGTAATGGTCATTTTGATCCCCTGGTTTCTTATACTCTTTTCACACTGGTTTTGCTTAACCCCGTACTTTGCTTAGCCCCGTACTATCCTTAACCCCGGACTATTTTTTTGGCTTTTCACACTCGCTGTTTTTAGTCCCGTACTAGCGCCTATTCCGGAATAAGAAAATTCCCGCTGTTCTCACTGCATTTCGTTAACCCCGGATATCGTGTATGTTATGATTGGACATACCTCGCATCTGGCCAGCTGCGATACGCTCCATTGCGTAGTACCGGACTATTTTTCGTTTCTGTTCTCATTCATTTGCTTAGCACCGCAATTGCGGGGTTAGCAGGAGTTAGCACCACAATTGCGGAGTTAGCCCTGCTATTTTGCAGGGTTAGTTAACCCCGTACTATAGGTGGGGTTAGCCAACTTTAGCCCACTTTGGTAAAAACCAGTCTGAACAGAAAGTGGAATAGGCTTAACCCTGTACTATAGGTGGGGCTAAGACCCCCCTTAACCCCACCTATAGTACGGGGTTAAGCAAAATATTGCCAGTGTGAAAACAGTATTAGAAGATAAATAAAATCTGCACATGTACAAAATGAGAAATAATAGGCTTTGAAATGATTCAGTAAAGGAGGCATGGGGATTGGATAAGGAGTTTCCAATTTTTTTACTCCTTTTTTCATGAGGCGGGGGGAGGGGGGGGGGGGGGGTTAGCCCCCTCTCATAGATTCACCTATTTGCGCATACATGCATGTGATTTCTAAAGGGCATCTTTGTACTTAGGAATTCCTGGTAATCCAAAATGTGTTTTTGTCATCGCTGAAGTTAAACGTTGTAGGATTAGAGTAAGACGATAAGAGAATGTAACTGGGTTCTGGGTTAGTAATAGAACTAAGGAAAACGTTTAGTGTGGATTCCATGCAAGATGGATTTTTTTTTTTTTTTTTTTTTTGGGGGGGGGGGGGATGGGTCTTTTTTAAATGTTGTTAATTGAATTGAATTTATTCACCGCTTCAATAAAACAAAAACATGCAAAGTCAAAGAATACATTAAAAGATTTTTTACAAATATGGATGAGTCAATAAAATACTGGTACACCAGGGACATGTCTACACGTAGCATGTCCCTGGGTACACTAAAGGAAATTACGAAATGGTTGGATCATCTAAAAGTTACAGAAACTTAAAAGGTAGATGATCCTACACAAAATACAAAAACTAACACCCAAAAAACCCAACCTAACACTGAAAGGATGAAATTACAAAGTAGACTACAAATTGGTTAGAAATCAGTATTATGTACATGTATGTGTAATGTACTGTTCAAAGATCAATTGTTGCTGGAGCATGTTCTGTACTACCAGCTTGCTTTGAATATAGTTCCTTCACCTTAAAGTTTGTAGTTCTGTTCAATCAATCCTTTCTCACGTATATCAATTACATGCAATTTCCTCGACCCTAGTTTCAGATATTTTCAAAATACATGTCCATGTTTGTGATCATACAAGGTTTGGGTGGTTTTACCCCTTTGACTTCTGAATTCTCTCATCCCCATAGGCTTAACACAGGGACCACCTGGTTTTAGTAAGCAATGGGTTAACTTTATAGCCTAGGGGAATAAACAAGTATAAGATAATAATGCAGGATAAGAGCACTGATATGAGAGATTATTTTAGCCAGGCTTATTGTTTAATTTCGATGGTTCATCAAAATCATGTTTAGTCAAGAAATTTTAATTGTCAAAGAGTAGCGAGGCATATGAACAAAAGGGAGAGATGATGAAATAACTTTAAGATTTTGTTGGCAGTATTTTTTTTTTAAAGGACATCAATGTGATATGGAACCATACATACAGTTTCCTACACAAGTTTCATGGAGCATACGTGGACAAAATATGATAATTCAAATCACATACAACCATAAAATATGCTTGTTAAAGTTACAAATGAATTCACTGGGACAAATATCCAAACACATACATTGATTCTGGACAACTAGTAACATTAAAAATTGTCTGTTTGGAGCCAGAAGGGTGTTAACTCTGTGTTAAAGTCATTTGAGTTAAAGCCCTTCTGGCGCCCAACAGATGAAAGGCAGTATCCCTAAGGCCTAAAAAAAAGATGTTGTATCGCCCTTTAGGTGCCAAAACATGGGTCGGTCGGTCAGAAATCTCTTCTTCTTTTTATTTAACTTTTTTTTTTAAATCTCCCTTTTTGGGCTTATATCTCTCAGTTATGATGCTTTATATTTTTTTTCTCTAAAAATCGGTTTAAAAAAAAACTTTTTTAAAAAGCCGACTGTAGATTTGGGACGGTCGCAAAAGGCAATACAACCTGTTTTTTTTTAAGGCCTAATTCATAATTCATATTATTCAGAAACAAAAAAAACAAAACAAAACAAAGCTAGTGTTATAGACGAACCAAAGGTATCACAGACTTACACCTAATTATTGAATCAATCATCACAATAGACAATTACTTATGAGATATATTGACATTGAAATTACAAAACAGATACATGATTGTTACTCTAACATATACTAATCAAAACCTTATAAATCCTCACTTTGCATAAATTTAAAGATATATAATACCCGGATCTTTCGAGATAAGTGGCTCTCCTGTATTTCAAAGAAATAACAACATAGCAACAACAACCAAATGTCAGTATTTGGAAGGAGATCAGTAAAATGTTCCCATTTTCACTTTAAACGTTGGCAATAAAAGGCAATGTCATAGTTATTTTGTTGTAAAAGACTCAGGAAATTTGGCAGAGAATATTTCAGACTTCAGAGTGTGAATGATATTTAAAGATTTTGATATCAAAAGCAAACAGTTTGGAGGAACCAGTTTTGTATTCACCCCGGCCCCCCCACTCAGGGTTCGAAATGACCGCATGCGTGTTGCCAAAATGTCCGGTAAAGGGGTACTTTTCGTGCGACAAAGTCCGACCCGAGAATTGTAAAAAAAGGGGTGTATTTGACTTTTCACCCGGAGATTTCTTTAAAAAGGGGGTGTTTTTTTCTTTTTTTCTCTCTCATCTCTTTGCACTCCTAAGAAATTATTCCGAATTAAGGGGGGTACATTGACCATTTTTCATGATTTAGGGGGGTCTCCAAGGCAGGAAAAGCCCGCGAAAAGCCCGCGAAAGGGGGGTTCGGAAATGTTGGCAGTCCTCAGATAGGGGGTGCTTTCAAAAAGAGGGAACGAGCATATGCGTACCCTAAATAACACTGAGTGGGGGGGCCGGGGTATTCACTAACTTTTTTGAAGTCCAGGGCCCATCCATATTCATTAAACCTCACTGAACCTCATTTGTCAACTAACTAACACACTATTTAGTTGGCCACTGGCTTAGTAAGGTGTTCCGAATATAGGCTGGCCTTTAAATGCTTTCTCCTTTTCACATCTAGTGAGTGACGCAATTACATGTAGGCATGACTCTAGTGCTGTAGCGATTAATTACATTGTGTTAGAAATGTCAAAAGACGGTCTGCTGAGCCTGCACATTCACTACCAAATTCACCTGTGCAATGTAGACTACATTAGATCAAGAGAAACCATGGTAAATAGAGGAAGAGAGAGAGAAAGAGAAAGAGAGAGAAAAAGAGAAAGAGAGAGAGAGAGAGTCAGAGAAAGAGTCTAGAGAGGGAGGGAGAGAAGGGGAGGGAGAGGGAGAGAGAGAGAGAGAGAGAGTCAGAGAAATAGTCTCGAGGGGGAGGGGGAGAGGGGGAGGGAGAAAGAGGGAGAGAGAGAGAGAGAGGGAGAGAGAGAGAGAGACAGATTTTTAAAAAAGAGAGCAATAGAGGGGCACTTGAAACCTAACATAAATTGAAAGCTCTTTCAATATATTAAAACCAATCCGTACCAAACAGAAATACTGAGATGCATATTATATAAACCAAATCTAGATTTTAAATGGAAAGAACCACCACAATATATCTAGAAATAAAATAGTAAGGTCGTCTTTCATGCAGATCATGCACCTAGTCTGCTGGCACAGGCTTTGATTTGAAATTTACCACAATTCTTAAAGCCTTAAAGGGGAAGTCCACCCTGATATTAAGTTGGTCTTGATAAAAGCAGAACAATGAGAAAATAATATCAGTGAAGGTTTGAGCAAAATCTGATTACAAATAGGAAAGTTATGAATTTTTAAAGTTCATGTCATCAGTGAAACTCAAAACACTGACGTGTCTTGCGAGCTCCTCTCCAATTTGCTCTGTATACAGTAAGTTTCACAAACTTTCATTTCCTTAGTTATTGAATATATTTGTTTCATACAGGGGTTGTATACAAATATATTTGCAATAATTATATCTAGGTGACTGTACGATTGAAAATTCCTATGGAAAAACGTAGAAGTTTAATTTTTTTTAAAGGAAAAGTCAAATGGGAGGGGAGCTGCCAAGATACTTCAGAGTTGCCAATCTGTGTTTGATTGATAGCACCTTCAAAAATTAATAACTCAAAATTTAAAATTGGTTTTTGCTCAAACTGTCACTGCCCTGTTCTCCCAATGTTTTGCTTCTATTAAAATCAACTTAATATCAGGGTGGACTTCCCCTTCAATTGAGCAGAGCCCACATCTGGCAGTG